ACAGATGCATTTGATACACGTGCAACATGCCATAGATTATATATCAGAAGGGTAACTACAGAATGTCATCTAAAACTAAAGGACAACCAAGGACAATGAGGCACTTAAAGGAATAGTAATTTTGCAATTGACAATGAGACAGAAAAGTGGAATCCTGTCTCTTAGGGTAAATACACAGAACTTGCCATGAATGACATTATACACAAGGTAACTACGGATGCATTTGATACACGTGCAACTTGCCATAGATTATATATCAGAAAGGTAGCTACAGAATGTCATCTAAAACTAAAGGCCAACCAAGGACAGCAAAATTTGGACCGCCACAGGCAGCAGTCCAAAAAAATTGTAATAACTGTTGAGAAGCTGCAAAGTGGAAAAATAGTTGCCAGGATACTTGAAACATAACCAATGAGAGGCTGAAAAATGGAGAAATTTTCTGCTTCAAGAGAATAAACATCAATGTCAAAATTCTCTAAGCACTTCAACTGCTGCAAGAAACTGACCTCCAAAAACAATATTAACAGCTAGTGGATCAGCACTAAAAGGTATAGTTTGTAAACTTAAATAAATTAGAAATACCATGAAATTTATAAATTTGGTCATCATTACTGCTGGACCAGCAATTTGCCATGCCACCAAAAAAAAAGTGTAGGAGCAAAAAAAATCTTAAGCACAGTATAACAAAAAGGATAATCTCTAATCTTAAAGATGCTCCCTTATTCTTATGGGAACTTGTGCTCAGGAAACAAAGCATCAGATGGAAAGACTAACCAAGGAATCCAGACATCTTTGTGCAAACATTAAAATGCTTGATCTCGAAAGGCTTCAAGTTTACAAGAGGTTTACAGATAATATGTAGCTATTGCATATTCATGATTTTAGGGCCAAACTTGCAAGTTATAACCTGAACCACCAAAGAACGAAGAAATAATCCTCTCCAGAAGCAATAGCAAAAAAATACAATGCAAAAATCAGACTATAAGGTACTGTAATACAGAAAGTATGTGTATATAACATAGCCTTTATGCCAATGAAATTGAGTAATTAACTAAGAAATTTATTCAAGAACATATTCAAATAAAAGAAAACACTATCATATGTCTAATTCCTACCCAATGTAAATCATGTAATATTATCCACCTTGATTTCTTCAGCCATTCTCTCATTAGATGTATTTGGTATACCACGTTTAATGGCTATCTTTACGATAGAACTTTTCTCCCATAACTTCACAATAGCAGCAGCTAAGCCTTGGTGTTGCCTATTTCTTCCTACAGAATGGACAAATAATGATGGCATCTTACAAGAAAATGTGTATTATGTAAAAGACGGAGTAGATTTTTCATGAATTTGATAATCATGACATACCTAGAGCAAAATGAGGAGGCATTGTTCTAGCAAGTCTTCGCAGAGCTGTCATTTCTCTGTCTCTAAGAGTACTTCTGGTCTTGTAAGGAAGAAGTCTAAATGGTGGTGCATAACCAGGAATTACACCAGGAAGCAAGTCAGCATCAACTGGAAGTGGGTTACGACCAGACCAATCTTGATATCGTGGTCCCAACTGATCTAATATATTGTCAATATCAGAAGTATCTGGAAATTGTTCAGATGGATTTCCGCAGGCAGAAGAATCAGCTGCAGATCTTCTTGAAATGTTAAATGACTCTTCTGATGGGTTCCCAGTAATATGAACGAAGTAATCCTTGATTGAAGGGATACAGTTAGAGTCAGTATTAGCAAGTTTTGAGTAGGTCTGGATGCATGGCAGTTCATATGTCATTCCCTTATATAGCACAACTGACCTTCCAGACCTCCAAATCACCAGACCTCCCGTTTTATTCTGGTAAAGTAATTTATGTTAGCTCTTAAATAAAAAGCCTTAGAGATGAAAAGTATTAATTTAATAAAGAGATAACAAAAGCAACAGAAACTAAAGTCAGGCCACTTGGAACAACAAGCAAGAATAGTCTTAGAATCAATTCTGCACTAAATTTAAAAACAATCATTTTTTTCTTCAGAACTCGACAAACAAAATGAGAGACTAGGACTTATTAAGAAAAGCACAGATGCCACCAAGGTCCAAGTTAAGAGACTAGAAGTCATTAAAGAGACTGCATGCGGTCAAGGTCTGTAATTAGAAGAAGTAAATGCACTCAAACAAGTCCATGAGTAGAGCATCAACATGAAGACAACTTTGCTAAAGACTTCAGATACCATGAGTTAAAAATGGCTAAATACCAATGCCAATCTCTTATCAAATGATTAATTATATACTGAAAAATTGTAAATCCATCGGAAGAGAAAAACACCATATATCCTAAGAATTGCAAGGAAAGATGCACTGATGTTTCTGTTTATAAAGGCAAATGGTTTGAGCTGATGGCTAATACAGAAGGGAAATTCAAAACCACCACTGCTGCATGAGATGGTTTCTATTAAAAGACAAAACATAAGCCACCCAAAATAGTATCTTATTTAAAGCATGGAATGATAGGATGCAGAGACTGTAAACTTAAATATTCAAGAATGGCCACCCACCCAAATGAAAATTTAAAAACATTAAAAATCGATCATGATAAAATGATGAATTACAGTGATTTGAAACCTCAAGACCTCAATCTATTGCAGAAAATTATCTTTCATTAGTTCAGGCAGGCAGAAAAAGATGCAAATACCTAACTAATTTCCCAGAAGAGTGCATGCTACTATGTTTCTATTGGTTGATCAAATTCTAGATGGAATATTTAGTTTCGAGAAACACAATGCATGCATATAAAGAAACTACTTTTGCAGATGCAAAATAAAAGATTACTTATGGATGAACTAGATTAACACAATGCATATATGGAACGAAAGATTGATTAGACAAGTTCTTCCTATAAGTTATAAATATAGATATAAGATAGACTGCTTGAGGATAACACACGAGACACATGGAGGATCTTATAGCAGCTGTCAAATATGAGACTTTGAAAGAACATCTACAACCATAAAAGATCCATAAGGATACCCACATTAGGAATAACAATACATAATTCACAAAGTTGAAATGGTCCATAAGCAACAGATACACACACAGAAGAGGAATTAGTTGCATCTAGTTTCTCACATTTTTAAGCTTTGTAATGCAAAGCAACAGATCAATAATCTTTTTCCATTCTTTTTGCTTGAACTGTCTTCGTCTTGTTAGGTTATATACTTCTTCTTTATTCTTCGATCAGCTTGCTCAAACTTCAAAAGCATTCTGAATTATGACATTTTGATCAAAACCTCTACACTCTCTTACAAGACAAACAACTTGGTCCAAGTGATATTAGTGTGAAATGGATATCAGTTAAGCAAATTGTGATACTATTATCTTCACTTTTCCCAGAATTAATGCTATCACAGACTTCTTTGGCATCAATGAGCTATCCTTTTGACAAATGAACATGCATTTAAAGACTGCAAATGCAGATTCTTAGAATGCTTAAAGATAGTTTTATTCGAGGGGAAGAACAATTACATGACACCAATCAATGTAACTTTAGTAAGAAAAACTAACCTCTAAAATCTCATGTGTTCTCTTCATGTTCAAACTAGGTGTGCCTTCAAACCTTAACTTGACCACCTCGGCCTCCTTCCACTTCTCATGAATGTTTTTCACAACTGCCTCAGTCACCCCTGCTGGCCCCACAGTCATCCTTTCTTTCATCCTTAATGCAGCATCTCTGAGCCTTCGTAGCTCTGGCTCTGGAATGGCCCTCTCTGCCAGTTCAGTGTTACTTCTGTGCAACTGCTCTCCCTCCTTAGAATCAGTCTCTCTCTCCCATGGTAATAACACTGGACTCACCAACTTAACGACATTATTGCCTGGATTAGACCCATGTTTAGAAGCAGACTTACCAAAAGAAGCACACACATTAATTTTGGGGGCACTTGAACCCATAGAATCCTTTAGTTTATCAACTATCACACTGACCCTACTCTTTCCTCCATTTTCATTCAAATCATAGTCTCTTATAGGCAACTGAAATGCAACTTTGGGGTCCGTATCAGCTTCCAAAGGATCAATTCCATGGTCTCTGAATGAAGCACCTCCCACTGAACTCGTTTGAGAGGTCTTGTCAGTGGAAAGGACATGGAATCCTCCCTCGACAGAGACACCTGAATTATCACCGAAATTCAAGCTAGTCTTATTTTGGTCCGAGCAGCCTCTCCTCTTCGCATCCACGGAGGTCCACTTGTGCCTCTCATCCTCTCCACCAAACTCAAAATTCTTCATCAAAGTCTCATTTACAAAACCAGAATGAATATGTTTTTGTCCATGTTCAGCTCCATGATCCCATGGAGCTGATATCGACCGCTTCCTAAAAGGAATGCTCCTGCCATGGTTCGGAGGAATTTCATCAACAGAACGCTCCAAAGAACCGTCTGAAACTCCTGAATCTGAACATTTATCAACCACACTTCCACCTAACTTCTCAACAATTAAATCCAAACTTGTTCTCCGTCGCTCTTCATCAAAGTTCTTAATTTGATCCCGAGAATCCAAATCGGCAGCCCCATAGTTACCTAAGGATCGATAGACAGGTGTACCCGGTGCAGACAAGCCCTGAGATGGCTGAATCTTTTGGTTCTGCCAGGGGAAAGAGGACCTGCGGGAGGAGATCTTTACGGACCATCGTTCGAGAGTCTGGTCGCAGAAACTTGGCCTGAGCTTTTTCTTCTTCGTATTCTTTTTCTTATTATGGATGTCCGTATCCTTCTTCTCGAATTCGACTGAGTCTTCGTCGGGTAATTCCTCACCGCCTGTCCGGAGAGCTTGAGAGGAGAGGCAAGCGCTTGAACCACGGAGACAGGAACGGGAAAGAACCGATCTATGGATTAGAAGAACAGGAACGGAAGAGGAGGCGGACGACGGGAGAGGTGAGGGAGATGGAAAGGGAGAGAGGGAAAGATGAGGGCTTAAGGCAGCGAAGGCAATCGCCATGAGAGAGAGAGAGAGAGGAGGGAGCAAACACCCCTGGGCTAAAAACAGCGGATAATATCCGCGTGTACAAGGAATCCGGATCATGATCCATCTTTGAGGATCCGATTCGAGCCGAACCCATTTCGAGCGGAGCCCACGAACTTGGTCCAATTGACGCGTTGACGTTGGACCCAGAGAAGCATCCGATTAGGAAACACGGATCAGGTTACAGACATGAAAGAGGATCCGAATCCAGCACGCTGTGATTTTTCTTGTCGGCTTATATGTGGATCGGCCAAAAAACAAACTGTAGTAACAATCGTAACAGAGAAAAAGGGTACTGTCAAGAAGAACAGTGATAGTGAGATAGAATCCAAGTGTATATAGAAGAAAAAGACCATGTCTGTCAATTATTAGCCCTCGCAGGAGAAGCATAATGGCCCTTCCAAGCACCAGCACTAGAATCCATAAAAGGATGAACAGCATCCTTAATTCCATGATAGCATCTAATTTTACATATACAGCATCCATTATAGCATCCTTAGTTGACCATATACAGCATCTAATACAACACTTTTGAGATGAGTTTCTGATGACAAATGCATTGCTAGGGCACATGCAGTACAAGTGTTACTCCAACCAAATGAAGAACACTGATAAATCTCTTTCTGGGAGGTCCATGACTTGATACAAGTCAACTATATGATAAAGCAACAAAGGATTACAATTAGCTAAAGCATATAGTACACTGAAAATTCTAGAGTCTAGACTAATAAAGATTGTAGTTGCTTTACCTTCCAAGCTGGAAAAGAATGAGACCATCAACAAACAAACCACTGTAGCACACCAGGATCAGGCAGTGACACATGCTTTAGAGGATTTGGGTGATTAATGATATGTAGTTATCTTGAACCAGCTTCTGCAGGCTGTTGTTGAGGTGGCGAGCTTTCAAAGAGGTCGACCTCCCCCACACCAATAGGTGGCCCGATGCTGCATCGATTGGTGTTGTGTATTGCAATGGCATCCTTTATCTTCTGAAACTGAAAAGATAAAAGAAGATGATCAGTGTCCATCTTCCTTCCATGAAGCATGTGAGACCACAGAAAATGGCTTTGTTATCATTGGCATATGTTTCTCATTCAGCAAAAAAAACACTATAAATCCAAGATATTGTCATTCAAATTCAAACCACACAATTTGCCATCTTCTGTGCTACTGGTGATTAAAGATAACAAGAAGTCTCTTCTGTCGCCAGGTCAAGGAGATGGCAAAGGAGTTAAATGAAGTCATTAACAAAGAAATGGGTAACACCACAAATTTAGACCTTGAATTTGTGCCAATTAACATTATAAACCTTAAGTTACAGTCAAGCTTTGTTGTTAGTTTCTCTAGCCACAACTAAATTTGCTGACCTAGAATAGATGTCGACGACAAATGTTGTTTGACGTATATATATACCAATCGGAACATCAAGGAACTTGATGTCTGACATGCCCTAGATGTATGTTCTTGAATTATATTGAACTCCTCTCATAACTTTTGTCATCGACGTTTATGCTAAGCAAGCAACTCAAAGCCCATTGTACAACCACATTAACTTTCTGTCTTGCGGATGGAAGTTGATGATAGGACTTGCTTGAAATGTTAACTAAATTTTAGGGAGATAATTGGTACAAATAGAAGTTCAAAAACATAATTTAATTTTTCCAAAGTTAAACAACCCCAAAAGTATATATATTATAATATGACTTGCTCACCTTTGCCAAGGAACATGAAAAAGATTCCAACAGTCCATCAGCACCTCGATAGAAATGGAAATAAGGAAGCACTCTAACGTTCAGCCTTTTGCACATTGGCTTGTTCTCATCAAAATTCACTTTGATGAATACTATGTCTGGATTTTCTTGTACTGTTTTGCAAAGCTGTAGTGTATTTGAAAGAAGGAGAAAATGAATTAATCTACTCAGAAACTCAATCAAGAAAAGGAACACGATAAGTTATTTTTAAAATAATTCTGAGTATAGTGGAATTAAATAAATAAAAAGATCAGACAATCTCCATATTCAAGATATCCAATGCAAGTGCTTAAAATTCAAAATAATAGATGTTACCAAATGTTCATAAACTTGTCAAGGAAATTAAAGGTAAGTCTGCATTTGTAGTTGATAGTTCAAAATGCATACATGTTTCTGGCATTGACACATTTATAAGGCTTACATGTTGTCAAAAACAATACTCATTTCAGTAAACTCAATAAAGCATGAAACAACAATCAAAGATCAAGGTCATATCTATGTGAAAATAATGGAAAATGATGAGGACAGTATAATAGACGTATGACAGGCACACAAAATACAGTAAATATGCTTGTAATATATGTTGAGTGCTTTGGTAATCCAGCAAGCTCTTCATGTAGAGCATAACTCAGATATGCAATGCCTAATGATGATAATGATAATGATAATGATAATGACAACAAGAAGATGTTGAAAGGCCCAACTATTTCAGGGTCACGATAGGAGACAAACCGACAACCTTTTAATCCAGTCATATATAGTTGTCCACTATGCCATGTGGTTATTGCATAATACACCAAGTAATTGTAGATGATGTTTTAAGCCTTATAGACTAGATAATAGAAATAACTTTTATTGCCATCTTTGAGTAGGAAATCCTATTTTTTCAACTTACATAGTATAGTTGGAAAGTTCTTCGAGCTCTGATGACTAGTTTTCAAGAGAGATTGAAATCAGTGTCAGTGTTTACCTTGTTGAACTTAAGCAGCCTTCAAAGAAAAATGATTAACAAATTTTCAAATTAATGTTAGCTATTTGAGTCTAGCTACTTATTCCATCCCTATCGTCTACCAGATATCAGGGAGAAAAAGCAGATCACTGTTGTTTGACAAGAAAAGAAGGATAATAAACAAGTTACTAGAGGTGCTACACCAGTGATATTATCCGATTTCTGGAATTACAAATCTACGATCTCATAGTACCAAGATAACTTGCTAATACAACCTATAAAATATGAGGGAACCAATTCTAACCCATGATGTTAACTGGTCTAGAAATCAGTATATACAGTATCATGCGAGTTGATTTGTTCCAAAATCTTGGCTAGATATAAGTTCATGCAATTTTTCTCATAGCACATTCAGAATTGGAAAATTCCACAATAGTTGATGCATCCTGGACAAAAGAGCCATTAACTAAATACAAATAAAGCAGAGGGTTGCTCTAAAGCTTTTCATTTTGAGCATTCCTCTGACTGATTCCTATAACTGTAATATCCCACTTCAGTCTCATGTCACAAGTAGGAGACTTGGATAGATTTATGTGGGCTCTATGGGTCTGATATCAATAACTTGGGCTCCAGTATTAACTGATGGTTCGAGCCCAATAAAGTTAATGGGTTTGTCCATGAGTTAGAACAATGACAAATAGTACCAGAGGCAATGTTACAATATGAAGCCATCGATGAGTTGAGTGTCATGTGCACCATGTTAGAGTTTGATTTTATGCTATGTTGGTCTTTGTTGGGACATCAAGTCTTCACCCTGATTTAAGGCTTGATGAACTTAAGGCTTGATGACCTTACTACCATTAACTTAGGTTTAACTATTTTGAGGCAGTGATTCAAACTCAACAAATTATGCTTCACTTATCTAATTGGGTCATGACAATAACCCTCTTGATTTATTCTTGTTCTTGCATACACATTGGCCATAATAAAGTGCAATTTCCCATATTATGCATAAGATAGCAAAAAACAATGAAGGATATAGTTTGAAGATTAGAGAAGACTTGGATGAACTTAAGTCTAGATGACCTTACTACCATTAACTTAGGTTTAAGTATTTTAAGGCAGTGATTCAAACTCAACAAACTATGGGTCACTTATCCCATTGGGTTGCAACAATAACTATATTGATTTATTCTTGTTCTTCCCTACACATTGACCATCATAAAGTGCAATTTCCCATATTATGCATAAGATAGTAAAAAACAATGAAGGATATACTCTGTGAACAAATACAAAAGCCTTGATCACCGAGAACAACGAATAAAAGAGGATTATGCTTTGAAGGTAAAACAAAGGATATGCAACATAAAATCAACACTTAACCAAAGAAGACTAAGAGTATTATGTTTGACTTTGCAAAGCAACTAAACCACAATAATTGAACTTTTAATCATGAACAATTTAACCAAAGAAGCAGAATCATAAATCCACATAAAGAAATTAAAGTAGCACTCGTAAAATGGCACAAGAAACTAAAAGGAAGAGCCAAGAGATAACATGAAGTTACCTTGGGATACAAGGCTCGACAAGAAGCACACCATGTGCCATAGAACTCAACAATTACGAGTTTATCACCAGCTTCTTTTAGTGCATGTATAAACTCTTCTGTTGAATGAACATCGATCATATTTGGCCCTGCATTTTTTTCCCACCACTTTGGCCTCTCATCCTCAGTGACAACTGCATGTACCTGAAATCAGTGTCCGGTGAATAACTTCCAGTGTGAAGTGCCGCACAAGTATTATTCTTGATTGTTTATATAAAAGTGGTATATCTATTCGCTAGAAAGGTAACTTCTAGAATGAGAGAGTGGCAGAAATTAAAATAATACCATCGAACACATAACAGAGATGTGCCTGATTTGACAAGATGACGAGCACCTATATGCTTCTCACACATGCGATACGGAAAATCCAATAGAAAGAATGAAAGTAAGTTACCACTAGCATGAGAACATCTGAGAAAATTTAAGAGGTTATGTGTTGTTGCAGCTAAATAACATCAAGATGCATATTTTTCCTAAAAATTCATATAATGGATGGGCAGCCACTGATATTCTCCTCAGAATCAACTGAATCTTCCAAATATTATAAATCAGTATATTCTTCTTCGCGTTTACACTCCAGCAATTATTTTCTTCGTGTGATGGTTTCTCTGCTTGACTCACATGAGACATATTTTATGAACGTCACACGAAACCACATCAAACATGACTCGCCTTCCTCAACAGAAAGTAATGCCTTGAGAAGTTTCAACATGATACGTATTCTAAATTTGAAACTCCTTAGTGAACTTGGCATGGCATAGTTATGTTGGTCTTTCAATGGTTGCCTTTCTTCACTATTAGTATGAAGTCTCAACAAATACGAACTTTTACTGCCACAAAGGCACAAACATAGGGCTACTACCTTGCAAGCTCGCACCACAACACCAAGAAGGTATGCACGCTAATGTACTGAAACATAAAAAAGATGAGATCGTAGCTACATCTCGCAAATCAAGAAATCAACCATGGAATTTGATCGTACTAGAATTCATATCACAAATTCACCAAAATTAGTCTAAAGTTTCGTGGCTCTTTGAAACTCAAATCCCTCTCAAGAAAGGGAATCTGTTTTCTATTATTTTCACCACAAAGTGATATGTGACCAATTCATTAAAAAAGATTCAAAACATGAACAAGAACAAAAGTTTGAATTCAATGTGGGGAGGAAAGAAAGATCCAAGAAAAGGTGGCCTCTACCTTCAAGTGATCCAATCGCCTGGGAGGGAAGGTGAGGGCCACCGAAGCCGCACCGTGGCGACGCTGGCGCGACACCCTTGATCGAGGTGAGTCCAGAACGGGCGGGTGAAGAGGCGGAGGAGGAGGAGGAGGAGAAGCGACGAGCGAGAGGCGGAGGTAAGCGTTGGCCATCTTAAGGCAGAGAGGATGAGGAGCCGAAAGAGAAGCCGTTCTTCTTCTTCGTCGGCTTCTCCAATCCCGGCCTCGGCCTCCTTTCCTCCCTCCGTGCTCTGGCTTCTCCAATCCCCGCCTCAATTGGCTCTTTCCTCCCTCCTACTGCCCACCGCGCTCGCCACGGAGGAGGAAGAAGGCACCGGGAGAGAGAGTCTTAACGAAGCAATGGGTATAGACGACTCGCGTTTGCCCCCTGATGTGGCTCTCGTCGCGTGTGGAAATGGAAATGTTATGGGTCGAGACAGAGACCGGTGGAAGAAGAGCGGTCCAAACGCAGGTCGGGCGGAGGCTTTGCGCGTAGTGCACAAACATTTCCTCAAACACTTAGGCGACAGCGACCTTTTCCCCTTAATTTTGTGGAGTTATGCGGCATGCATATTCTAAGAAGAATAAACAAATCCCATCATAAAAATATTAAAATGCATATTCCATGAAGAATAAATAAATCTTATCACAAAAAAGAATAAGTAAATAAGCATTTACTGTCACCCATGCAACAAATCTGTGGGAAAAGTATGATTTCATCTCTTCATTGCGCTTTCAGAAAAAAAAAAAAAAAAAGCAAAGACATAGGTGACCACAGATCATCAAGAACAAATATATTGTTTCAAACCAATAAAAAATTAACCTCCGTGAATGCAGCTGATAATGTTACAGGAAAGGAGATGACAACAACAAAGTTACAAGTGTTCTACAGCCAATCCAAGATACAAACAGCTCTAGTAACAAGAGCAACACCAGTGAATCTTTGCAGACTGCTTTCTCATGGTCTTGTTGCATGTTGCAACAAGACTCTGGTTTGGGAGTCTCTGCAGAGCCAACCCTGGTCAAGTAATCAGTTGCTCATCTTTAACTAATGGTACATGATCGCGGTCTACAAAACAAGATAATGTTATAAAAAACTCAGCTCACGGCCCCATGTTTAATTCATGGGGTCTTGGCGAAACCGTCATTGGCTGCCATATAAACATGATAGACTTAAGGATATGCTTGCCCGTCTATCTATCCCAACCATCCGCTCTACTAGCAAACTCCCACTTCGAGGGAAGAGCACCGTACAAGGCTGAGAACTTGGACAAGCAGTTGGTACGGATGTCATAGTGCACCTGCGTGTTACGACTAATTGCAGCAGTCGACAGCTTGGATGTATCGATAGCCCAAGCAGGATGAACATACTCCACAGTTCTCTCTGAACTCGCATTTGAATACAGAAAATTCATCAGCAAGTCCTCGCAATTGAAGAACTGGTTGACCAAGGCTCTTCCTTCTGTTGCTTCCTGGCTCCCGTATCTCTTAAAAGCATATTCACTGTCCATAAAGGCCGCTCCGGTCAGTATTACATTGTAGCCGTTTTTCCCCCGAGCATACCTCTCATTTCTATACTGCAAAGGACTGCCATCTACCAGCCGTGGATAGAAACCTACTAGCCTGTCAGGATTCTCCCTCCAGACCCTGAACCCTTTCTCGATGTCATCACACGCCATCATTATGTCATCATCTAGTTCAAGAACTGCTCTGGTTTTAATCAGAGGGTCCACCTTGAACCTGTTGTTGAGAGAATTGAGCTCTTCCACGCGTATCCTGACAGGCACAACAGAATCAAACTCCTCCTCACTAGGAGGTTTTCCTTTGTTCCAAACAACAACTATTTCTCTTACAGATTCACATCGAGAGTAGTGTTTGACATATAGCTTTAAGTTCCAAATACGGGCTTCATAAGTCATTGTAACCATCGTAAATTGAGAGTATTGACCTCCAAACATGTAAGCCTCTTCTGCACCATTGCCTCCTAATAGAAAATGCACAGATGTGCATGCAAAAGCTATGCCCACAAGAACAAGGAAGCTGAGAACTACCTTTCCAGAGCATGTTTTAGGATTTACTCTTGCTCTGATAGAAGAACCGTATCTATTCATGCCTGCAAGATATCTCCGAGCCCTCAAGTTAATATGTGGACGAGTTCTAAGCCAAGATGATTCATTTCTCCGACTAGATGTCACACAACAGCTTACTGCACCAACAAAGAAGCCTATGGACATGATCAGTAAAAGGAGCAGCAGGGTAAACGTGCAACCTAGGAGAAAACGAGTTGTGGAATCACCAGAAGGAACACGATCTCCATCCATAACGGCAATCCAGTTACCTGAAGGGAGCTGCTGGGCATCCAAATGGTGGTATCTGATGCCATTCCAGGCATTTCGACCTTTCTTTGGTTCTTTAATACCCAGCTTGACAGGAACCTCCTTGAACTCTTCTCTGTTTAGTTTTTCAACTTTGTAAATTTGGATTCTTCGTCCATATGTCCCACCACAGTCCTGGCCCAAGCGATACAAAGAGCCTTCATATATAAAGGGTCTTCCCCCATTTCGAGCTCCCAAGCTTTTGTCAGCTCTATATATAGGATTTTTTGGATGTTGTTTCCAGGGCCCAAGCGGTGAGCTACTGTACCATATTTCAAGTTCTGCATTCTTCTCAATACCAAACCGAGTAAAATCTGAAGCAAACAGCCAATAGTATCCCTCGTACTGGATTAATGAGGCATCTACAAGGGGTTTCCTTATGAGAACCTTCTCCAAAGTCCATTTTAGTGGGAAGTTTACTGCTCGGTAGAGTCGAAGCTCTCCCTTCTTGTTCCCCTCAGGCATCATATAAATCTGGGGAAAACATTTCAAGTTGGAAGTTAGGTTTAGGAAACATAAATAATGAGAAATGAGTAGAACATTCTTGCGTGCAACTATTATCTGACTCGTTGTTAAGATCTTACAATTCAATAATCCAAGTATTATGATGCAGACCAAATGGCCCAAAATGACCTCATCTGTACCATGCATTGACATTCCCTAGGTTCATAACAAACTACAGGTGAAACAACAACTTTGTTTCCTAACCGTATTCGATTCATATACAACAATTGATTAAAAAAAGTATATATTTGTTTCCTAACCATGTGATCATAGACTTGAGGTAGGTGTGCCTAGGTTAGCTTCATAGAACTGATAACTGTGCTTCAGTCACACTTGTTAGACATAATGCTTTATTATTCTCTATTCGTATGATTTTAGGCTAATGTGTTTCCATATAGGGCAAACCTTGAAATATCATGTTAAAAGAAATATTAGAATTATATCTAAGATTCCTTCATAGTAGCATTAGACTAAGGACCTCTGTGATATTTGATTTGATCCCGAACCGTGCTGTAGTAATCATTATATGTATATAATGCAAAAACTACACATGTCAGCTTTGGATTACTTGGTTCTGGTAGCTGAAAACAAATGGATAAGACAAATGCCAATCTTCCTCTAAAGCAATGCCCAGAAATTCCCATGTGCCACCTTGATCAAAACTTCTTGCAACACCAATGTCACCTTTCATTGTAGTGGTACTTTTCGACTCAAAGAACAAGTACAGAACAGAATCCTGAACAAAATGGACTGCATCAGATAAAACTGCAATGATGTAACATAGAAAATTATGTAGCACATATGGAACGTATAAGCATAGTGTGCACTAAGTCAGGCAAGCAAAGATCAGGTAGAAAACAATTCTCCAGAGCTAGAAAATCACAATACAATGACTAACAAATGACTCGATGAAATAAGTAGACTAAATAATAGGATGCAAACCCAAAGTCCCTTATAAACACTATAGAGACACAAAACATAAAAGGAACCTGCAGAAGTTTGAGCTTATCAAACATTAAGAAAACATAAAGAGGCACAGAATCTTCTTGGTGCTTTGCTATTTACAGAATGGTATAAGAATGTGTTCTGTTCTATTCTGAACAACCAATAAGAGGAAGAGAGCAGTTAGAACATAAACAGAACCTACCAAATGTAAGAATAAACATACACAGAGAACCATATCACCATCTATACAATAAGATATCAGTATCCAGTGCCAGTAACGTCACCTGATGGGTGCTCAATTATGTACTGAACATGATTATCGAAGAGTTTTCATATGATACTACAATAAGCCATCCAAGAATCAACAGCCTAACAGGCTTGAAGTGATTTACTCGACAGACCAGGCCAAAGCAGCCCAAGTTCAAGATGGATTAGTAGTTAGCTATAGGAATTTCACCATTTTAAGTTACCTCTCAATGGTCCACAATATATTAACATAATAACAAAAATAAAACTCTTATCCGATTTATTTTCTGATTGAAGAGATTTAACCAGAGCATTGTTTTATTTGGAGGAATTTCAAAACAAATCCATGCACTTGGAAGTCAAGTCAAGATCTTGACACATCATGGAAGCCAAATCAGGTTAGATCAGATCACAACATCTTCCTATACATTGGCAGACCCAGCATCCCTAGTCAGCGTTGTCTCTTTTTAAGCATACCAAATATAACATAATTATTCTGTGTCCAAGATTATCTTTATAGCTTAAAGCATCACCAGACTTCGTATCACGGTAGGGATGGGAGAAGGAAAAAAGCAAATTAGGAGAATGGACGCTACGGTTTTATTATTATTGTTGTTGTAAATTATTAGTCAATAAACCTATAGGTATCAAAATTGAATCAAGTCATCTTCTTTCTACCTCAAAAAATATATACTAAATATAAAATCCAAAAAAATAGCTCTTTCGATCCTGTAATCTTGAAGTAAAGAGTACTATAGTTGTATGTGCAAGAAAAAAGGTTCTTTCTAATAGATATGTGATCCAACATGACGACCGGTACAAGATTTTCACTTATGTTTTCTCCACAAAGTAGAGAATGGAGCAACGGACCTGAACATAAAGGAACGGATCCGCAACGAAATTGCTCGGATGCCCTGCTCTCGACGGTGATGCACAGGTTAACACAGGATTCGCGATAGGCCATGCTGAATTGTTGGCGTTGCTGCTACCAAGCTGCTTTCTCATAGAAATGAAAGACGATCATAAGCGTGAAGACTTCCCCATTGAGATAAAGAGAGCTTAACCAAACCTACCAATTCGATAGGGGAAAGCGAAAAGGGGCTCTTCCCGTAGTACACGCCAACGGACCAGGAACCTTCGCTGTCCGGCCGGCAACCGACGAGGGTGGGATCGGAGCGGCGGGAGGAGGAGATGACGAGCCAGAAGAATGCGACGGCGACGAGCCCGGAGGCGGCGAGGGAGCCGAGGAGGAAGGAGACGGCAGAGGGGGAACGGGCAAGGAACCCCAAGGGCGCCCACCTCCACCGGATCCGCGGGGCCATGAAGAGGCAGCAGCGGCAGTAATCCCAGACAGCTCTCGGATTCTCCGCCCTCATCCCTTTCCTCCCCCCCATTTCCGCGATCGGAGCCCTCGCATCCCCGCTTCAGATCGGAGGAGGAGGAGGAGGAGAGAGGGAAGGTCAAAGAGTAAAGCAAAGGCGAAGCCTTCCCTGAATGCGAGCTGGCGGAAAGGATGCGAATCTACAAACCCAAGTGGAGGAGGATATAATTATTTTGAGGAGGCAGTGAGTACCAGTCGGGGGAGGAGGAAACGAGGGAGAGGAAGAAGAAGACGGCGTCGCGTGTTGACTTGACGGGAAACCATGGCGACGGCGGAGAGTTCCTTCTTTGCGTTGGTCTTCAATCGTCCACGAATCACACAGTACTCGTGATCCGGAACCTCCATCGGGCCCGCCAACGGAGACAGCGATGATTGGTGTCGCGACCGGACTCGCGACTTAAGCTATCTTGGACGATGGTGCGCCGATCACTACGTTGAGGGATTGGATCTTAGATGTTGATTTGACCAAGCTTCATCTTAGATGATAAGCTATTTAGTTTCGTATTGAATTAGAACTCCAATCAATCAAATGCCTTTTATGCATTTTGAAGATAAGAGTTAGTCTCGAGTTTGAATGGCATTTCACCCTCGTCGATTGTTCAAGTTTAAGTTCATACCTTCATCTTGATCGTGAAAAGATCACATATGGTTTGAATCTATAAGCGGTGACAATCTCATTTTTATTTTTTTTCTAAGTACAATGTATATTTTTTTAAATATCGTTAAGTCTGAGTTAATGGATATTATAGTCTACTTACGTGGTATGTTGATTTGTAATAAAAGCTTAAGGTATATTTTAGCCCTTGTAATTTTAGGTATTAATCTTTTAAGTCCTTACGGTTTACTCGTATATAAAATAATCTTTATATTTTTTAAAATATAGTATATAAGTCCCTTCCATCAAGTCTAAGTTAATAGACGTTAGAGTCTACTTATGTGGTATACTGACTCATAATAAAAGATTAAGGTCCATTATAGTCCTTGTAATTTTAGTCATTGATCTTTTAAGCTAGTATGGTTTACTCGTATATAAAATAATTTTTATATATTTTTTTAAAAATAATATATAGATTTGAAAACGTGGACTGATCACCTAATCAATTTTCTTCAAAACGAGCCTTTACTAAGATATGGTGAGTGACACGTTAGCCTTGCCTTAATATTTGTCGCAGAGGGAGAAGCCTCTTAGTACCTATGATAGTCGAAAAGGTCACAATGGAGAGCTGATCCCCCAAGCCCAAAGAGAAAATCACTGGTCATATTGCATGCTTCAGCATGTGGAGCTTCTCCCTTATCATGCTTTGACTCACGTCCAACACTGTCACTTGATTAATTAGGACACAGGGTGAAGGATCCTATCGATGGCGCTTTTAACTTAAGAGCCACCATGTAACTTTAGTGCCTCTACTCTTTCGGGAGCAGGGTCTCTTGTGGCATCACACTCACAAGGACGCCACTAACCTTAACCTCGATATCGACCGACGAAATACTCCTTCGTCAGTGTAACTAGCAAATCGGGCAAGGGGCCGAGAGGAGCCCATAGAACTCGTCCTCTCATTCTATGTCCTTCGTCTTCTTGTCGTCATAAGCTTCTTTATTCTTGTTCTCGTCGGTTACTTGATTGAGAATTATAAGATTGTACGACAATACCCAATAATATTAATTAAAATTTAAGACTTTTAAAATTTTTTTACATGTGCACATGAATTATAATTCTCAATTATAAGAATTATAATATTTTTTTAAAGTCTTATCCTCGTCGACTATTCTATTTGTATATCAATATTATTATAATTTTCAAATGGATGATACATTTAAAGATATTTTCCGAATAACATTGAAAAGATATATATCATAAATTTAATATATTATTTAATTTAATTTTAATTTTAATTTTTAATATAATTTTTTTAATATAAAAGTAATATAATCATAACTTTTTTTATGTTTATATTTCTCATCTTCGGTCATGTCGCCTGCCTCGTTTCCCGCTTGCCACCGTCAATCAATGACGGGACAAACACGTGGCCTGACGGTTTGTCCTGGTCCGCACCTCCATCGAGGGAGCCGGCGGGAGTTGGGGTGAAGTGTCTCAGGGTCTCCTTGGCCGACGTCGTTGTGAACGCCGTTGCAGTAGGGAGTCGAAGGTAGTCACGGGTGGAATGAAGAGTGATCTATTTTGTAGACAAAAAGGGATCTGAATTCCAATTATTTTCGTTCAAATATTATATAACATGCGTGCTTGGATCTGAATTCCAACGGCAATTACATCATGATAAGATTATCAAGAATTAACGTTGGAGCAGCCAAGCTGTCTTCCTCCACGTGCTGTTACTCGCTCTGAGACGCGCAACTATCGAGCTCAGTCTCGTTGTCTATAGGACCTCGCATGCCCATCGTCGAGCTCCGTCACTGCGAAGAGCCAAAGGAGGAAGAGATCGGATCGACTTAGAATTCCCACCGTAAATGGGTTCGGAGGAAGGCGGCTCCTCTTCGCCCCTCCTCCGCCGGCCCACTTTGTTCCCCAGAAGCCCCCAAAGCTCCCTCTTTTTCTGCTTCGCCCTTCTCCTCCTCCTCGCTGCAGCCGCCCTTTTCCTCTCCTCGCTCCTCTCTTCGACGCAGGATCATCGCCCCCCGGCCGCTCGACCCCTCGCCAAGCTCTCCCGCCCCGTCGTGCTCCTCATCTCCTCCGATGGATTCCGCTTCGGTTACCAATTCAAGGCGCCCACCCCCAACATCCGCCGCCTCATCGCCGGCGGCACCGAGGCCGAAGAGGGCCTCATCCCCGTCTTCCCTACCGCCACCTTCCCCAACCACTACTCCATTGTCACCGGTCTCTACCCGGCCCACCACGGCATCGTCTACAATTACTTCGTCGACCCGGTGTCCGGAGATCACTTCACGACGGGGAGCCACGAGCCTCGGTGGTGGCTTGGCGAGCCGCTCTGGGAGACCGTCGCCGCCCAGGGGTTCAACTCTGCCGCCTACTTCTGGCCGGGATCCGAGGTGATCAAAGGTTCGTGGACATGCCCTGCCAAATTTTGTCCCAAATATAATGGATCCGTGCCCTTTGAGGAAAGGGTTGATACTGTCTTAGGGTACTTTGATCTACCCAAAGATGAGATGCCTGCTTTCATTTCGCTCTACTTTGAGGACCCGGATTCACAAGGTCATATCGTCGGGCCTGATCATCCGGATATTACTAAGGCTGTAGTTCGAATCGACGAGATGATAGGCAGACTGATCTCCGGATTGGAGAAAAGAGGAATCTTTGAGGATGTGACCATAATTCTGGTTGGCGATCATGGCATGGTCGGCAATTGTGGTGGCAAACAGATCTATCTTAATGATTTATCCCCATGGATTAATATCCCAGAGAGTTGGGTACAGTCGTACAGTCCTCTGCTTGTGATCCGACCCCCTGAGAATGTCTCCTCCTCAGATGTGGTGGCCAAAATGAACAGAGGGTTGAGTTCGGGCAAAGTCAACAATGGTAAGTATCTGAGAGTGTACCTAAAGGAGGATTTGCCTGATCGACTACATTATTATGCGAGTTATAGGATTTCACCAATCGTTGGTTTAGTAGCTGAAGGGTATAAAGTGGCACGGGAAATGACAGACACTTGCGAGTGTGGAGGAGCCCATGGCTATGACAATGCCTTCTTTTCTATGAGGACCATCTTTGTGGCCCATGGACCACGGTTTGAGAGGGGCGCAAAGATTCCATCATTTGAGAATGTGGAGATATACAATTTGGTCACAGCCATTCTTAAGCTACAGGGTGCTCCGAATAATGGGTCAGCATCATTTCCCAATTCTGTCCTTCTGCCAAGTTATTGACATGTAGGCCGTGGAAACTTGTTTGCTAAAATGGTTGTCATGTGCACAGTTAATTTAAGTTCGACCTTTATGTAATCACTATGATGACTATTCTATCCAATGGACAAATTTTCAGTAAGTCACGATTGCGTTCATTTTATGCATCCCTCCTTTTATGTTGGTAAGATAAAACTATGATCTATCATCACTAGATGTTTCCATTGCCATTGGCAGATTATACATTATTTTAGTCTATAACACATGTGAAAAAACAAATTTCTTCCTGACTTGCTATATTTTTCTGTATATTAGCTCCTGATCTCAATTTGGAATATGCCTCTTTGTCTGTGGGACAAAAGTTGCATTTATTTGATCCTCCTCAGATCTACGATGGCAGGATTCTCATGGTAAAACCATACATGAAGAAATCAAAACATGTTGCACACCATATCTGGAATACTCTGACTGTGGGTCTGAAAATACAAGTGGATTGCCTTGATAATGGATGAAGGGCAATTTACATGTGGTCATGAATCATCGGCAGACTGTTATCATCATCTTTGAGTGCTGCATATTGTGGTGGGCTTAAACAGCTTGGCAGGTGTATGATGGTACCTTTGCTCCAAAACAGAGGCAGCAACTATTATAATAAGCTGCACAGCCATGAGAAATGTCTATAATACTGTTTGGTTGTCAAACCATCCTATCAATTATAGTTTGGAATGGTTCTTATTTCACATGTTCATGCCCTTATTGTATTGAAATATATTCGATTCAACCAGATCAATCTATCATGCATAACACCTGATGCAATGTTTCATATATAAGTTGATTTTTATTTCTTCCGTTGAGGTATTTATCTCCTTGTAGTTTCATGTAACAATATCAAAGAATACTGAACGACTTAGTTGGTTTAGATGCAATGAACAATGTCAATACTTTCTTTACTGAGTGCATCTCAACAAGAACTTGTTTTATGAAATTATGTGTATTAATAGACAATGTGGAGGTGAGGACCATTTTCCTGGCATCTACATAACTATATGGTCGAGCTGGGAGCTTGCTTCCTCCATCTTGGTCATTTTGCTTCTTGTTTATCTGTGCTATTTGTTTGTGTAGTTCGCTTATTTGAATGAAATGAAGCTGTTATTTTTTCCGGAGGGCCTTTCTCTCAAGATTGCAGAACCCAGAATTGCTGCACATGAAATTTTTTTCTTCTGCAATTTACTGTGAAATTAAATGTTCGGATGCAAAGGTGATTGCTGATGAGGCATGAAAGAATAAGATGAATCTTCGTTTCGTTGATGCTAATACTGTGTGATATGTCAAAATTATATATAACATTGGATATCATATGTTTGAGATAGATAGGCATATTTTGCACTTGGTGATACCAATTCTCATGTAGTCATTTTTGAGAATTTCAGATAACTGTGTCCGTTGATGAGACTACAACCCTGGCGGATGTTGATAAGCTGTGCAATTTTTTTGCTTGTGACAAGAATTATTGTTTTCAAAATGAGATTTCACATCTCTCACAAAAGATATCCATCATTAATTGAAATTCTCAGGTCAATATCACTGCAGAATCTCTAGCTCCAGATGTCCAAATGGCTATCCCAAAGGGCTTAGTTAGAGAGAGCCCATGTTTAACACATCAAATTTTCAACTCATATGCTATTTAATTTTTTCTGAAGTTAGATGCCTTGTCAGGGCACTTAAATCTTTATGTTTCTGTTCTTCAGGTGCCACACACAGCATGAGCTTCAATGATACCTTTATAACACACATTCGTTCTCATGAATTCTTTAGCATTGTGACTCCAATGTAAATCACAGTTACATTATTAGATATTTAATTTCTAGAGTCATCCTTATTTGTGTAATTCTTGTAGTTGTAAGCAAATTTCTATACCTTATTATGAATAAATTGGAACTACTTCTTTCACAGTCATGGTTGAGTTGTTTCATTGCCGGTATGCCAGCACTGCATATGTTAGCATCAGTTGAAAATCCACCCTTCTACATATTGACATGACTTTCTGATGATGATTTTAGAATATATTTATGGTCCTGTTTTGCTAAACAACTTTCTCAGTGATGCAATTATAAATGTAAAGCAGTGTTTTTGCCTGTTGTGTAATTAGTATGAATGAATAATATTTCTCTTTCCTGTCTCTGAATAACTTCTGATGTCCTGGCAATGAGTGACCTTTGTGATTTGGAGATCCTAGAATCTGCCCACTTGGTTTGGTGTTGAACATTTCTAGTTGTTAGATTGTCATTTTCATTTTGTGATCTTAGGTGCCCACTGGTGGGATTCCTCATCCTCAGAATGTCCAGGATCTGCAATTTTTCTGCTGATTTCATACATATACATAGCAGTGATGGGTTCAAAGGGGTTCAGCCATTCTTCTACAATTGTGATTCTCAATGCAAACAACATGGCAAAGCGTCTAGAGGTCCTTCAATTTACTTTTTAATGTTTTATGAAAAGGTATGAAACTTCTGTTCCTCCAGCAACAAGTTTTTTTCTTCATAATTTGAACTTCTGACCAAAAGATATTCCTTTAAATTTTTAGTGTTTGCACCATTCTGGTGTTATCTATAACAATTCTATTACCCCATTCTTTTCTGTGGAGTCAATGGAACTGTTGCCCATGAATTCATTGTAGACTTGAGGGGGTTTGAGGTGCTTAAACCATCTTAACTGTCACTCATTCATTTAGTTCACTATTTTCCTGACCCTTTTATTTGCTGCAATTTGAATTATTGCAGACAACTGCTGGTATAGAGCATAAAGATTTTGCCAAATATATTATGGATTCCATGCACCAACACAATGTCTTGGTCAGTGCCAGGAACACTGATACGTGAATCCACAGAAAGTGAAAGCAAGGTATCGTGCCACCATTCCCTGTTTTCGAGTTGTCTTGTGGAGACCATTATTTTGAGCTACTTTGGTTTTCCCTTACAGGCTGGACTGGATCGATTCTACTATACTCTTTTCTCTGAAAGGGAAGAAATTGCACGGTTTGAGAGTGGAAAGCTGATATTAACAATAATCTCCTGAAGCATAAACATCCCAAATTGCTTGAGTGCAGTTCTAAGAATTCATTCACCTAATTGAATGAGTCGATTTTTTCAGGTAAAGAAAAAAAAAGAAATCTTGCCATTTTGATTTAATTGTTGTCTTTTTACCACCACCTCTTTTGAAAGTTAAGATAAAGACCTTGCACAACGCATACAGCTAATGATCGATTTAATTGCTTTCGCAGATCGGTTTAACTTGGGATGAGTAACAAGTTTAACTGCAGGGTGCTCCTCATCCTCCATCTCTGCTTATGGGTGATGCATCGAACAAACTCTACTTGAGGGAATACGCATCTTTCCCTGCTTCTTGGCTACGAGCTTCGATTCTCATTCATCTGGTTTCTATTAGCAGGAAGATACTTGAGAGTGACCATAATGTTGTGTGGTTCATTCACTAGGATGCGTCAACTATTCTCATATGCACTCTTCTTCATTCGTCACAAGTGTCTGAAGAAGCTACAGCAGCCACTGCATAGGGAAGTCTTCTCCGGCCACTCCCGCGTCTTGCAAAACACCATTCTCTACTGAAGAACAGGTTCTTTTTCCAAGTCAAATTTGTGCTCTTTAGTGTTGCTGTTTCTTTACAAGCCAAAGATACTTATGGAACATCTGCATAGATTATGTCTCATTTCATTCCTTTCTCTTATAATTCTCTTTGTCATGCTAAAATAAGTTGATATGGATGGTCAGTTTGCCAAAGCCTGCATCTTTGTAGCTTTGAACAGTGATAGAGAAGGAAACTTTTGTAATATCATCTTAAAACCATGGTTATGTAGAACATTCACTTGACAAATGAGTATGTGACATCAGAATATAGCCGGTTGGTTGGTTTATAGAATTAAAATAGATATACTACCATTAACCTAAGCATCTTGCATCAAATTAATGTTTCGGTGTTCGCATTTGTTACATTTTGATTTATGTATTATTATATTTTAGTTTAACTCAAGACATCCAATTAGTAAATAATTGATTCAAATAAATCATGAGTTTCTTATGGTGTTTAGACCAAATTTTCTAACAAACTTCCACATAGATTGATGAAACGAGTATGAAGTAGTATATTCTATTCAAGTATGGAGATTGCTATTTACAATCCCTCTTTATTATTTATATATTTTATTTTCATTTTTTTAATATTTTTAAAGCTATTTTTTCGTAAATAGATATAAATACTCTTAATTCTCCTCTTCTTCAAAATTAAAAAAATAGAAATAATAAAATATTATTTTATTATTTTTAAAGAATTAATAGTAAGGAATTGCCGATACTAAAAAATAAAGGCGCTTGTATTTGGTAAGCCAATAACAAAAGTTGATGTGAGTGAACCCAGGCAAAGTGATCGAATCAGGATCCCCTCCAGCTATTGTAAGATTCCATGTGACAATTGGGACCCCACCATGGTTGCGCCCAGCGGCACACGGCTGTGATGCAGGAATTCGACGGTTCCAATTGAAAGGCATCCTTGGAGAGGGATCTGTCGAGGAAACAGATCCGTCATCGAAACCTGCTTATACCCATCGCTCTGTTACGCACGCAGCTCGGTCTCGTCATGGCCGCCTCACCGGCGTCTTCAGCTCCTCCTCCGCCACCGCCGTCAGCAGCGAAGAAGGGCTTCCTCCGCCGAGTTATACCATTTCTCCTCACTGCCAATCTAGCCGTCGGAGGTTCTCTCTCTCTCTCTCTCTCTCTCTCGTGCTAACGTTTACACTTCTTTTTTACCGCTCGTTCCAAGATCGAGAGTAGTTTGAGTCTCGATCGCGTTATATGATCGTTATTTATGATCCAGGAAAGCGAAACTGGGTTTAATAGTCGCCATGGAGTCTCAGGTTTCGGTGATCTGATCTTCCCAGAAATAAGCCCTTTCGAGCTTAATATTTTCTTGCCATATATTCCTGTCATGTAACAGATAGGAAATGGCTGCATCAAACTGGTAATATCTTGGCATGACTTAGTCTACTTTGATGTGTTCCTTTATCGTATGATTGGTACAGTCATTGTGGAAATAGGGTTCTGGACTACCACCCTGTTGTATGACTCAAAAGATACCCGAGACTGAATAAAATCAATATCCTGAAGGCAAATGATTTTTATGTTGGATCTATGTCTTAGGGAAAAAAAAGAAAACTTTAGGTAATGCCTTTCCGAAAATATACATATGCGAGTTGACGATTGAAAAAGAACTAGAAAATAGTCCGCTAGGGATTGAAAAAGTCGTATGACATATATTTTGTTCGACCTATCTAGGAGCATTGATGTCCAATTTACATGAATGTTCGCCCTAACCCAGGTTGATTAGTACTCAAATTCCTGAAAGAAAATTCCAACAATATGGTATCTAGGTTTACCCACAGGTAAAATTTGAAGACCAACGTTTGGTTATCCCATAGACTAGTTAAGGGAGATAGGAATGAGCATAAGAAATTAGTCCTATAGATCGAAACTTTAGCAACTGAATTCTGGGGTGATTTTTTTTCTTTTTTTTCAAACACATTGCTGCTAGTTGTATTATGTGCCTTGTTTTTTATATTTTTGTAGGGAAAATATAGTGTTGATGACCCTGGTGTAAGTTTTCTGATCATGCCTGCAACGATGAATCATGAGAAAGGATGCAGTCCATCTTTCCCATTGTAGCAATTGGCCAAGCATTCTCCTTTCATGTCCTAATTGAAGTAGCACACCTATCTCCTAACAAAATAGACCTGTGAAATAACATCATCTCATATTCTTTTGTTGCCTGCTTTTTTGGATCTTGCATAGTGTAGCAGCAATTGCTAATTATGCCATGCACAAACCATAAGATGACTGCTTTCACAACACTTTAAATGTTTCTTTTGAAGCTTGACTGTTGTTGTTGCATTTATAAAATACCCACTTCATTACTGTTCAATCTCAAAAGTTGTTTCAATTTTAAATATCTTACTTGTAAATTGTTGCCCTCAGATTCAACCAGCCTTATTTGACTTAATGCTTGTTACATAAAGTAACTGTGAAAGTAACAACCGGCAATCTGGTTCATGTCCATTTTAACTTGTAAATGTCCAGATATTTACCGGCTATAAATGGCTTCATATCTAAATATGATCTTTTCATTTGGACTAACTAATCTGGGAGTTGATTTCTGGAGGTATTATTGTTCAATTGCAGATGTTACTCCTTAACAGCTACGAATTCGTCTTTGCAACAATTGTTTTTTCGTAAGATCAAATATTCATATTTATAATGCATGGTTCTCATCCCCAATTTAACAATCCTCTATTTGCAGTATATGTCCTTCTTAGGACCTCAAAGAAAGAGTCAACTGAGAAGGATGAGGAAGCTGTGGGAGAGGTTCCTGCTTCTCCAGTAGCAACCATCAAACCTGTGATTCCTGATAAGGAACAAGTTGTTGGATCTATTCCAGCACCCTTAAAGGTTCTGCCTCCTATAGCAGAACAAGAGCAGCGGGAACTCTTCCAGTGGATTCTGGAAGAGAAGAGGAAAGTTAAGCCCAGTGATCGGGTTGAGAAGAAGAAAATTGATGAGGAGAAGGCTCTCCTGAAGCAGTTTATTCGAGCAAAATCTATTCCTATGATTTAAGAACCTCATCTTTCTTAAATCCTTTATGATGTTGTTGTACTTCACCGTAGCACGGATTAAGCTTATCCTAGCACTGTTTCTCTGTTATTGTGCTAATTCTTCATAAACTGATACTTTTGCAGTGAGTTTGGAAGGTATTGCTTTGGATCAATTCCGTGTAAGCCATAATTGATAGACCTGGCTTGGGTACTGCTATGCTCCCAGTTAACTAGCAGTTGCTTGTATCCAAACGAGTTCTGCACTGGCCAGATGCTTCATTTGTCAAATTCTGATGTTGCTATTTTTCTTGAAATAATTCCTAGTCATACACAATTGTCAAGGGTCGTCAGATTCTCAGGCTGTGTTAGCCAGTCATTTGGATTAACATTTGTGCCAGAATGCAGTAAGGATTATGAGGTTTGCGCCCATCTGGGTGATCTCAGTTATTGTGATATTGGAACATTATGAAAATTTTATTACAGATTTTTTTTTTCTGAAGTATTCTTGTGTGATTGATCGCAGCATATTTTTCTGGTGCTTGCTTGTAGACATTTTTATGTGCATCCACTGTTTTTCGAAAACTTTTACATGATTATGCTGATGCTGGAAGTTAAATTGTGACATTAACTTTACAGATTCAACCACAAGACCGGAGTCACCGGGCCGGTTTGGCACCAACTGCAAACATTACAGGTAACCTGGAATGGTTCCTTTTGTTTGCAGATCAGTGTTATTTGCTGAGTATGTATCCTTTTGTTACTCTTCCTGGAAGATCCAAGTCTTAATGTTTTATTTATTGTCTTGTATGGAACTTGATTCATGTTTCAGCCATATGAATTGTATGTTTCTGAGATATGCATAATCTCGTAAGCTCTCATGTTCACTTTCCCTAGTGGATCTGGCGTGAGCAGAGATCTCGTTTCTGTTTATGGTCTGTTGTGTATCATGCATGGTGCATTGCACTACGGGTGCAATCTCTTTGTGATGCCGAGTGGCCACAGCCTGGAGGTGCTATCGACAAAGCATTCTTATGATGCTTAGACTGCTAAAGATAAACCCTTTTTGGAGGTCAGAACGATTCAAGATTCAGATTATAAATGGTCATCTGATCAATCAAGATTCATGTGGACGATCAAAGAAGGGGGGAACAGAACCTATATGATACCGTAGTGTAAGTAGCGTTTGGATATCCGACACGATAACCTGGGCCCGGTAACGGAGTTTTGATGTGGGCCCCACCTAAACATACCATGTTGTTGGTTTGATATAATCAAGATTTTTTTATTACTAAATTATTTATTATTAAAATTCAAAGTAAAAAAAATATTTTCAAGGGTGAATTAAATAGAAAATCCCTAACTTTGGAATTTTCTTGTAGGGGTGTTCCAAACTCAAAAAAAAAATTCTCAATGTTTCACCTATACTGCGGTTCCAACCTTAGTTGTGCTTGATCGTCTAATCCATTGGTCCTCACCCAGTCGGTATTATTTATCAGCCCATATGTAGAGGCCTAAGTGATTGAGGGAGATGAGAAAGCGATTGGTATTGTTAGTTCACATACGGAGGAGTAGATAGTCAAGGGAGAGGAAGGTGGCGACCAACATTACAACCCATACAAAAAAAGCATAGATAGCTAAGGGAGGGAGGTGGCCGATGAGGCCAACTTACGCATAAAGGATGCGATTGATCATGATGATAACCAATAAGTAACTGAAAGTAATCAGCAATCTGCTTCATGTCCATTTTAACATGGCTAAGCATAGAGCAAAAGGGGACGATTACAACGTGAACAATGGATGGTAATCGTGAGGTAAAATGAACATTTAAAAAATATATTTGTAGAATTTTTTTTTATGCTTAGGTGCTCTTACGTCAAAAACCATTAAAAGATTTTTTTTTGAAGAATTCATCATATATTTAATTATTCTGATTTAGGTGATAATTTAAAATCATATTTATATAGTATATATAATAACAACAACAGAAAAGTAATTGAATCTGACACGGATTCTATGATTCGCGATGCATATTAGGGCGTCGATTTGTTGCTCCTTCCCCCTTAAACCTCGACCGCACGCCGCTCCCGGAGCTTCCTCTCTCGCTCCTCGTCGCTCCACGCCATAGCCCTCGGAGCACCGCGAAAAGGAGGTTCTCTCTCTCTCTCTCTCTCTCTCTCTCTCTCTCTCTCTCTCTCTCTGCGCCAGAGCTTCGTCTCTGTTCGTCACTTCCTCTTTCCATGCCACTCTCGCAATAACACCTTTTAATGTTTATTTTTTCGTCGATAGTACGTTTTTTGCTTTCGATTGCTCACGTTGTCCGAATAATTTCATCTGGTTGTTAGGTTTTTGTTGTTGATGTTCCGTGATCGATAGCAAATATTAAGTAGGGAAAACACTATGTGCTTGTCAGTTTGGATCGGTTAATCTAATCTTCGGTTTACGCATGCCGTGTAGTTTGCTATGGAGCATGGCTCTGCGACAGATTCGAGCTCCTCGACGTTTTCCTTGATGGATGAGGACCATACGTTAGCGAACTCTGTCAGATACACACTAAATCAAGAGTGAGTACTCTCTTGTCCAATCAACTTCGTGTCTGTTTACGGTTTTTTTGCAAACAGATGGTTGTTTTTCTCTAGTTAATCGTTGTTGTTGACTCAACCGTGTCAGACTTGATTTGAATCGTTGCCGTCTGTTTGAGAAGGTAGAGCTCTTGAGAAGGGCATATGTATAGCTATTAACTAATGCTGATAATAAAAGAATCCGAGCATAATTGGCATGATTTTGAGATGTTGAAATCGGTTTAGCCTATGATGATTTCATTGTCTGCTAACGTTGACATTCGAGAAGTTCTTCGATAAGGAAGTAGGATGACGTTTGTCAATATTTATGTTGATTATTATCACTTTTCTGTCTTTACGTCTGATGCCTGTAGCAGATACTCAGTTCTAGTTGAGAAACACTTGTTCATGTTGATATTTATTCGTGTACGTCATATAGGTTTTACTTTATGACATGTAAATATCTGTTGATATGTATTGCTCAGTTTATGATGGAACCCTTTCCGATTGGCTTCTGGTGTATGAATCTTGATGACACCGCATACTTGTTCATCAATAGCAAAGTGGTTCTTTGCTTTTGCTACTACCATAGATAATTGGGCTTTGTAAAGAGGTTTGGTTTTGATTGTTTACTGATATTTATTCCTCATTGAAAAAATCTGGCTTTTAGTATCATTTATTTTAAAAATAGTGTGATTTCCAGAAAAATGTAGTCATGGATGTTGATGATTTACAGGACATTCATTAACAATTTGTGCCTTTTGAAACACTTGTTTTCAGAAAATTTGTATTTTATTTTGGTGATAAAGTATTTGATCTTATCGGTAAACTTCTTTTATTAACAAAGCTGATATGCTTACTGTTTCTGGACATAGACTACCTTGCCAGAAAACTGTTTCTTGTTTACCATCCACAGGCTAAAGATTATTGTTATTGGCATATGAGTTTTTCTCGATGAATACCATTAATTAGGGATCCAATGAGAAATTTAAAGGCTCGGTCCTTTTATTATATCAAATCTGCTATTGAAACTTGTCAATTCAAAGTCATGTTGCAATTGATACAGTGTTGTTGTAAAGAGGTTTGGATGATGATAATGACAAATATTAGTTGCCATTTCTTCTAGTTCCTTATGTTCATTGTATCTAAAAAAACCGAATTTTTCACTCACATATATGAACTGTCGTTCTTGCAGTCCAAGGGTGATATTTTGTGGGTATAGCATTCCTCATCCTTCAGAGAACAAGGTCAACATACGAGTTCAGACTACAGGTACCGTATGTGCTACTAGCTTCTTTTTTATGGTTCCCAGATAGCAGTAGTATTTTTGGTGGTGGTGATTATGACTGTCAGCTGTAGACAAGCTACCTTAGTGGAAACTTTCCTTCTCTGGTTTGCTATGGATTGTACACCCATTTAGTCCATGGTCGGGTTGTGCAGGAATTATAGTTTATAGACGCAACAGCTAACACATTGTTTTATATATGCAATGATTTTTGGTCCTTTATCATGTGAGCATGCTATCTAGAATTTCTTAGCTGAATCATTACCAAATTTTGCATATTTGAATTGTGGGGTTATTATCCAGGATGCAACAAAATAAATTAGGAACTTCAAGAATTGAGTGTCACCTGCCATCATATGATTAACTTTCTGCTCCAACTGTTTCTTGCTCTCGTTGCTGATTATCTATCAGAACATTGGATCGCCCTGTCCGTAACATAATAATTTTTGATTGGATGGATAGGTGATCCAGCAAAGGATGTGCTGAAGGATGGATTTCAGAATCTGATGGTTATGTGCCAACATGTTAGGTCTACATTTGGAAAGGCAGTCGATGATTTCAAGTCTTCTGAAGGAATGAAGATTGATACTCCATGAAATCCATCTCTTCACCCTGCCAGTGCTGAATCGTGCCCTATGTAATCAGATCTTCATCGGTTGCCGTGCAACTTTTATTTGGATTAATATTTCACAGCTGGGTATAACAAGGAAACGAGTTGCTTTATTTGGGTTTAGTTTAACTAGGGTTTAGTTTAAATAGGCTTTCTACCTGTAGCCCCCTTTTGTTTTTAAGATGATGAGATCACTTGTGTTGCTTTTGTAATATCATCCATCCTTCACATTCTTATGCTTGGTTCTATCATTGCCCCATAAAAAAAAGGGTCTCTTTACTTAGTGATCTCTCTTTCTTTTCAAGATAACAAGATCTGTTGTCTTTGCATATGGATTGGCTATGCAAGTTGCATTTTGTAAAATCATCCATTTTTATGTTTGATTTTTGATTCTAGGACAAGTGTGGTGTACCAATTATTTAAAATCAACTATATAAATCTTTTTGAATCATTGATCCAATTGTCTCACGGTTCCTTGTATGAATTCTTTTAATAATTCAGCTTTTTGTACCTCTTATGAATCCTAATATCCTTAGTTAAATCAAGGGTATTCAATATATATATATATATATATATATATATATATATATATATATATTTATTTATTTCTTGGACCTCTAAGATCAGTTGTGTGTTTCATTTAATCATATTTGTATTATTTAAAAATCACTTATATTTCAGTTATGTAGTCTACACCAACGCACGTGCATTGCACGTGGTTAACACAATTCATTCTGTAACCAAACAAATACAAACAAGTGAGGTGATAATAATAATAATAATAATAATAATAATAATAATAATAATAATAATAATAATAATAATAATAAAGGTTTATTATGATGGAAGACACCAAGCGCTTGGATGCCAACTGGTGCATGAGCTTCCATGACGGTCGAGCGATTAGCTTCAACCGGTCATCTGGGCGGACTCGATACGGGGCTGGTTGACCTCCGCCTTGGGAACCACTACGGTGAGCACCCCGTGCTCCATGGACGCCTTCACCCCCTCCACCTTGGCGTTTTCCGGTAGCGAGAGGCGGCGCATGAACCTGCCGCTGCTCCGCTCCACCTGGCGCCAGGTGTCGCCCGTCTCCTGCACCTCGCGGCGGCGCTCCCCGCTGATCTGGAGCACCCGGCCTCCGCTCTCCAGCTCCACCTTCACCTCTTCCCGCCGCACTCCCGGCAGGTCCGCCTTGATAACGTGTACCTCCCCCGTCTCCTTCCAGTCGACCTGCATGCCGGGGAGCTCGGCCGCCGCCGCCGCCGGTGGCGCCGCGGAGGACGAGTCCCACAGCCCCTGCGCGAAGGGGTCCATTCCGCTGCCTTGCACGATGGATATGGCTGCCGGCTGCTTCCCTCTTGAAGACCACGAGGAAGAGATGCGTGCGACGGGGTGGATCGGAGGGGCGTTTTATAGCAGACGACGGGACGAGGTCGGAGCGCCACATTTGCTGAGAACGAGAGGAAGAGGCATAGCCGCATCCGCTGCAAGCGCCCGATCGACGACTTCTCCAAGATTGACAGCAGATCGATTGGCTCTTTCTTTTTTCTTTTATTTTCAGATCGATGCGATCCACTTAAATCGGATTTGAATTGGAACAAAACAAAGCAAGAGAGTACATAGATTTAGGTAACTAAATAATTAGTCAAGTTTAAGTTCAGATATCAATGTATTATTATTATTATTATTATCCATAGATTAAGCATGTAGGATTTGAGCATTTCCTAGTCAAAATGGATCGAACAAATTTCTTCATATGAGATAAAAATGAAGCAACGCCAATTTCATTTTTTTTTGTTTTTTTTGTTTTTAATGGTCAGATCCACCCAATCCACTTGAATTTGATTATATTAAATTTTATTCAGAAGAATGACAAACCAAAAAGTGTATATCTGATTCAATGTCAATCCCCAATCATCCCTACTGATGTGATGGTGATGGTGTTCTTACAGGAGTATCAAAGCCAAATATAACTAATGTGATGATCATCTCCCCCTTCTTATTTCATTTCACATTTTGTGTGCATGGAAATGGAAATCCAAACCAGTATTCCTGGATCGAATTCGAGACAGATTTGGATAGGAAAATAGGCATTTGGAACATCAGTCCCCATATAAGAGAAAACAATATATAGTTTCAAGCTTCAAGAGGCAATATATCTTATTTTCCATGTATCATACAACAAATATACAAATTTATATACCAAGTGGCATTTATAAGTACAATAAAGCAGCAGACAAGAAAATTCAAGCACGCAATTACTGAGGCAGAATGGATGAATATGATGAACAGTAATCTTATGCTACCACTCAAAATATATGCAGCTTACATATATTCTTGGTTCCAAAATGAACAAGCATTAATGGTAGAATTAGAACCAAATTGATTAAACTGAAAGAGCATTGGTTATGTTAAAGGGCAGGAGAAAAACACATAATAAATCCAAGTAGCACATATAAGTATGTACGCACGACAATGGTGGCAGACAAGAAAGACAACCATCGAGATCGAATGGATGAATATGCGGTGCAGTGATCTTAGGTAACCACCCAAACACATTCAGTTTACATTTGTGATCGGTCGCAAAACAGTAAATTTTAGACCATGAACTAGAAACAGCATGAGCATTAGTTGTTATATAGGGAAGGAGAAAGCAACACATAGGATATGTATGTTATTTTACAAGCATGATACCACTTGTAGTTCTATACCAAGTAGCATGTATAATTACTACAGAGGTAGGAGGCGAGAAAATTCGTGTAGACAATCATTGAGACAGAATGGAAGAATATGCTGAACAAAGGATCTTTTGCTACCAGCCAGAAGTATTCAGTTTTACATCTATGCTCAGCTGCAAAATGAATGCCCACAAACACCAACAGTAAAATTAAGGACCAAATCGACGTAAACTGAACTGAAAACAGCATGAACATTACTCGTTATCAAGAGCAGGAGGAAGACACACATAGAGATACAGATAATATGAAGCTCCTTGCAATAGTTTTGAGCAACACAAAAATGGCAACAGGTACCAAGTGTGAAGTAGTAAAAAGCTGCTCAACAAAGCCCCAAAATGCACAACAGCGTGAATCCAAGTTCATATAATTGGTGTAACATACCAACCTTGGTTATGCTTCTGGGTCGCATCAGGCATATGTTTGTTCTCCCAAGAGAAGAAGACTTGAAAGTTGTAATTCAAAATGAAGTGTCTGCAGTACAGCTCTCTATTCCATATGGTGTCAAGGTTCAACGCCACAAATGATCAGTCCAGTTCCAAAAGCTTCTGCAGAATCTAGGGGCTTCATATGTACATGGTCTTATCTTTGCATGTAGACAAGCTGTTCACATGATTTGGACCGTTGATGCCTATGTCACGATGGAGCAACTTTAGTGATGTGCAGCTGAGGTGGTTCACTGTCATAGTCACCTCGAAAAAAAAAAAACTAAAAATGGAAAATATAAGAGCCAAAACCTCCAGAATAAAATTATGGACATGTAGTGTAATCTGAACAATGCATTTTCAAAACTATGCCATTACAAACTTACAACTATCACCACTGACTCTAGGGTAGCTTGAACTAGCATCCAAACAGACACAAAGTCTCAAGACCTTGAACGACTGAAAAAGGATAACAGAGAGTAACAGCACCAAAGTCATACTGTGTGAGTAGTGTATCAATTACGTTCCTTTAGAACAATTTATTTATACATCCTTATCGACAAGTTATTTCGCTTCCTTATTTTAGCATCCCCAGCTTTCTGTTCCTGAAAATTTCTCCCTTTCCTCTCTCATTCATCTTCATGACAATGATATGTATTTAGTTGACATACAAATTGAATTTGATGAATAAGCACTTACGATTTCATTTACCATGTAGCATTGTCCAAAAGTTGTAAATTACAGAATATCCACTTTGGAATAGCTCATTATCATTAATTTCCTTCCTGTCATCTCCATATGCTTGTGCTTAAATCTACATCCATGTGTGATTCTATGATACAACTACATGAACCAAAGAATTTTATAATGAATGCTGATAACAAACGGGAGGGGATTTCCAAGAAAACATAGGTTGAAGCAGTGAGAAAGGATATGAAACCTCATCAGTTGATGAACATGGTTCTTCAGATATAGCCAAGTAATTGGAAAGAATCCACAGACAACTCACAATATCTGAACTTTAATACTTGCAGATAGCATGTCAATTATGTTAAGAAGATGCATATGGGTAGCTAACAAACATGATCTACTCATTTTCTGTAATGGATATTACCAATAAAAGTACAAAATACAGTCTTCCGAAAGACTAATCCAACTGTCAGATAAAGTCACTTACCCAAATATTCCTGTCAAGTGAGAGCCTAATTACATTCAATAGTTTGGATACAAACAACTAACAGGCGCATATCATTAGTATTAACTTGATACAACATGAAAGAACAAGTCAGTTTGACAGATGATCAACAAGGCGATGGGAGAGATGCACCTCTGTTGCACCTTTGCTGGATTTCATATGATACCAGAACCACCAGATTACATGACAAATATAGTCATCTCAATATTCAGTTGGCCCATATGATCAGTGGCAGTGACAAACTTGTCATGAGCAAAAAGATGACAAAAAGATGCCAACCACAACAACATGTCTAGGACTGAACTCAATTGATAAAAGGCAATCTCAATAAAGTCTTCCAGTGCATTCAGGAGACCCACAATAGCAGTCTTTCTGTTTTATGTTACCATCTGCATCACGGACCTGATCTAACGAATAGTTATAGTGATATGTCAGTTCTTGTAATGGAGGAATATTTTCAGCAGCAAAAAGCATTATGTGTGGTACTCTCTTGTCGTCATGATCGTAAAGAACATTTTGTGCATAGAGGTTAGGTGAACAGCTATGATTAATAAATCTTCCCACATTCCCATACTCAGCTGCATCAATGGTGAAACCCACATCGTCCACAGTTTCACGCTGGGAACTAGTCTTCAAGCCTGGAATAAGAGAAGGAAGTCCCTCCCAGAGAGAGTGATCATCATAGTTATGACCAATATCAAAAAGATACTCATCGTTACTCCTCTTTTCAGCTTCTTTATCCTGAAGCAGCTCCCCGATGTACTCGCATATAAAACTTCCTGACGGAATGGAATATAATGATCTCACCCCCCAGCCCCTTGTTTTTGTCCTGAAAATTTCTAGTGGTATTTGGATTCCATGCTGGCTCACCCTGTTGTGGCATGATGAGGGACACTTGCAGGACGGGCCACACTCATACAGAAGAGGTTTTGCTTGCACAATAGCACCATTAAAGTTGAATGGAATTTCACCTCCATTCTTCACAGCACATGCACACCTCCCTGAATCGGAGCAGCCATTCACGCAATCACAACCTTCTGGAGGATTCTTCACATACCATGAAGGATATTTAATCTCTGTTATGTACTTGAAGGGAGGAGGGTGCTCATCATTTACTGTGTTGATTACACAAATTGGTATCTTCTCCTTCCCATCTGATATATCCTTCACGCACAAACCTTCTCGTACTTTTGACCTCTTTGTTTTTCTGACTTCTTGAAGAGCAAGTTCTGGTTGTCCTGGCATTCTTCTTAACTGGAACTTATAAACAAAGAAGCCATGAGGCCCTTTCTCCTGCCAGTACTTCTCAACCAAATACAAACCAGCATAAGTTAACGTTGAGACTAGTTTGGACCTTCCATCGTGGGAACTTCCTCCTTTCATCTCCTTAATTCCATGAATAACTCGAACAGGAGTCTTTGTGTCAATACTGTTCTTCAGTGCCAGATTTCCACGCTGAAGCTTTTGGTCTTCTGGTGGCTTATCTGTACCGGCAGGATTTCCTCCAGAACCAGAATATATCAAGACATCTGAGCTATCCATATCATCATTATATCCCCCAGAAGCCACAATACTTGTTGCAACGTATATACCATTTTTCTTTAGGGCATCTATGCCTCCTTGAAATGGGCGATGAAGACCAACAATGGAGAGCTCCACCCTGAAATGAAATTCATCTCCAACTTCAACGCCAGGAACAATACCTATGATCTGCTTACCAGTGTTAACCCATTCACCTTTTTGTTTAAGGATATCAGCTGCAGTCAGGTCAACCCTCTTTGTCTTGCCTAACCCCTTTGATTTTGCCTCCTCAGTTTGCAATAGTTTCCTGCAAACCACTTGAAAGAGCCGCAGCGCTCTTCTAACCTTATGACGAACCAATATGTCTTGACTATCAGCACCACTATAATTCCATCCAGAAGGAACAATCGGAGGGATGTTGACGGACAATTCTCCTGATCCATCAAAAACTGAAAGGGGTGGAGCGTCTATGACATTCTGCTCATAGGATCCTTGGTAAACTGTAACTGCTCTTTCATTTTCTTCACCGTGAGACAGAATATCCTCATCCTCCACGTCCCTCAAGGCTAGTTGCATATTCAACTTGGTTCGTTCCCTCTTCGCCTTACGTTTATGCATCACAACAGAATGAGAACTATAATTACCAGACACAGTATCCTCATCCTCCACTTCTTTCAAGGCAAGTTGCATGTTCAACGTAGTTTGTTCCCTCTTCACTTTGTGTTTTGGCATCGCAACAGAGCGAGAACCAGAATTACCTGACTTGAAACCCTGCTTCCATGGACATCTGGGAGCAGCCATGAGAGCTTGAATGATCAGCCTTTCGCCATGAGCTTCCAGCTTCTCAACATCCAGATTGTGGTCAATCCTAGCATCATTTTCATCCACAGTTGCATCTAAGAACTTTCTCTTGGTACTTTTACTAACCTTTTGATATTTCGTCACCATCTTATCAGTTGATTTCCCCAATGAAAGTCTCTCCCCCCTTGCAGCTACTTTATCAAGATCAGGTGTCATGCTCCTTTGAGCATCCCTGTTAAGTTGTCTGATTGCCTGCACACCCAACCTTTCATCAGGAGCTGCTCTAATAGGTAATTTCTTCTCCCTATTTTCTCCAGAAAGAGACTGCTTTTCTGCTTCCAAACTCTTGATCTTGGGAGAGGGAAGGGGAGACTTCGAAACCTTAGCTTCTACCTGGAGAGTTTCTTCTTCAATCTTCTTGATCTCAGTCCTTTCCTCCATCCCCTTGGCAACCTTATTGTCAGCAGGAACTTCAACAGTAGCAAAATCTTTTGGGGCCACTGTTTGTTGATCCACAGCAGGCATCTTCTCCTCTATCGGACTCTTGCCCTTTGATGAAGCATTCGCTGCAAGTTTTAAGGCCTCCTCCCTGCTCATACGAGGAGCATTTACTCCGCAACCGATTGGATAATCCCGAACAGCTGAGACAGCTTTCCTTGACGGAGGAGGGTACATCTTCGGTGAACATTGCTTTACCAGATCACCGTCCGCATTCAGTGTTTCATCCGTTCTAGATACAACTGATGCTTTGGACTGTTCGAGTCCATTCTCCAAAAACAACGGCACCGGCAGCTCTAATTCACGGTTGTGAACAGAAGACTCCTCCATGCCCTGGTCCAGTTCCTCTTCTTGCTCCACTTTAACGGCTGCAACATTTCCCGAACCCATCGTGGAAGAATCCACAACGTGAGGTTTCATAGTACCGACCGTCAAGCAAGCCTTCCCCTCTATGTCGGCCGGGGCCCCCTCAGGAGGCCCACAAACGCCAGGCTCGGCGACCTCGTTACAGGCGGCAAGTTCCTTGGATTCCGGAGCAGGTGGGGGCGGAGGAAGAGGCGGCAGGGCCTCCTTAGGCTTCCATCCAACTACCACCGCGTGAGGGCCGCACCCTTTAGGGAAGTCTCGGACGCAAGGAACCAACGGCCACCGGAGCTTCGCCGCCTCCGCCATGCTCTAAACCCTGCAGCTCCTCGCCCTATTCCACCACGCCACGATTGATATTTACAAGAAGACCAGATTGACGGGAACAGCAAACTAGGGCAAAGGATGAAACGACCCCATCGAAAGCCCTAATCGCAATGGGGTTCACAGAATGGAATCGGGCTACTTCGCCTCCTCTTCCTCCTCCTCCAAGTGTTCTTGGGAAGAATGGAAGGCGAGTGGGAGGAGGGACGAGGGTAGGCGAGGCGAAGGGTTTCTGTTGGGAACGGCGATGGGATGAGTCAAAGTGCAGGCAAAATTGAGGTGTTGGTTCGATTTGGAAGAGAGAGGGAGACGGCTCATCAGACAACAACGGTGAGAGGGAGATGCGGTTTCGGCACCTACACATTCGAACCCAAACCCAACACCCTCGTTATCATTTCCCCGTAGTTCAATCATCTTCAGGTGCATCCGCCGCTGGCGTCAGCAACATCCCCCCGTGAGAAGACTCCGGAAATATGTCCACGTCATAGGACGCGTCGAATTCAGTGGAGCCCACGAGTCGAGGGAGTCCATACCGGAAGTCGATCGATCTTTCTGGATAATTCATTGAACAAATGGATCAATAATTACCAAAGAAAGGCTTGATATTGTTAGAACATCATAAAAATGATTTTTGCAAGAAATTAAATATTTTTCTATTTCAGTGTCAACACAATAATTAGTGGATCGAACTGAACGAGTGTTCCGCCTCCCAGAAACTGTCAGATGACAACAAAGTAGAATTATTGTGCTCCCCACAGCTAAACATTTACAATTCTGCGAGTAAAGTTTGCTTATGAGCCAAGAAGTTTGTACTCTCTATCTATCCAGATGGGTATAGTAAATTACAGCCGGATCACTCTCGCAAGCTCCTCCATATCTTGTGGATGGGGTTTCAATTGCCGGATAAAAAGATTGATGACATATGTAGTGTTTCATCTCTTCTATAATAATCGCAAGATGCTAATTCTGCTCCTCTCCGCTGAATTTGATAATATATGCTGTTCCTGCAAGATCAGAATTGAAATCCAGTGAGCCATCACATTCAATGGTAAAACCAGACTTAATTGTGAAAATTAAAATTACAACTGTCAGGAATCCCGTTAAAGGTCCTCAGTGTAATTAATCAGTGGGGTTGGCAAGAAATTTCACCGGGACAAAAAGGATGGGTTGTCCCCCGAGTCCTTAGGGGGTAGCAACCCTCTCCCAACTGATGATACCAGGTTCCAAAAGAATTCCCTGGAGGATCATCTAAATCTTTTCACCATACCCTCAGAATCTAGTGAGCATGGAACAAAGAGGAACACTAGTAATAACAGAATTAACTAATAGAACCTTCCTTCATGGGCCACTTCCCTTCTTTAAAACTCAACCAACTACTAATCTCTTGTTGGGTAACAGGGGCAAAGTGAAAAAAAAAATTTAATTCAGAATATTGAGCTCATGAACTACATACAAAGTTTGACCACAAAACCTGTCAAACTAGGTCTTATGCTTCTTGAAAGATCCATTCCCTAAGCATGCATTGCAGTCTGCAAGAATCATCCAGCACTAAAGCAATCAATACACCACAGAAAACTTTAAAAAACCTGCTCCATCTTCAATGTTTGTCACCTGACATTTTCTCCCTTGATATACTTTAAAAAACCTGTTCCATTTTGTACTTGAGAAAACTTAAGTGCAAAATGTGGCCCTTATCCAGCGCCTGCCATTAAAAATCGATAGAAGTGTAAGAATTAGATATAAGGCTACAACCATGACAAAAACAAAAATTCAAACATGAACAGGATGACACAACTAGAAGCAATTAGTTGACTTAAGAGAACAAGAAATGATGGGGCCATAGAGAATATTTATCAATTTCTGATTCAAAGTCAGATCGACAAATATTATAGACTTATATTAACATAATATTACTAATAATGGAAAAAATAAGAACCAAAAGTAATCTTGAACTAATCCTAGTTCTCACCCGAGAACATCAAAGCATAAGGGTTTTAGATTGTTGTAACCTAAAGTTAAGTCTCATCGGTTTATTTCCACATTATAGCTGTACATGCTTTCCTTGTTACCTTTCAACATTCTAAATGTGTAAATAAATTCCATGGGCAAGGCTTTATGACTAAAACTTGAAAAAATAGCATTTGAGTAAATTGGATATGTTGCTCCAAAAATTCTTTCTTCAATGATTGGCCAGAGATGACATACAGAGAGATGAACTTAGGAAGGTGAATGCAAAACCTAGAGAATAAAGAAAAATAATAAAAACTGCCAATCATTTACTAATTATTGCTAATTTCCCATCGTAAAAATGAACTTGACTATGCTACTGTGTCACAGAAACTGGCACTTGTAATATCCTGTACTTTTGACAATATACACAGATGACAATCAAAACCAAATAATGGCTTAAAATGATAGCACTGATCAGATGATGTTATATGATAGCAAGTGCATAAGATGATACATGACTGTCCTGATTATTGACAAAATCAAATATGAAAAAGCTTGGAAATGCTCAATTATAATTTACCATACCGATCCATCACTATATCCCGTGAACGGTTCACAATCTGTCTGCAGTATACACTGATGTCCAGAGTGTTGAAACCAGTTCTTTCAAACAAGTTTGATAATGTGTCCTCAGAAAAGTAGAAAGAACACTGACATAATTACACCATATCATTAGCGGACATAGCCAATAAAAAGAAGTAAATATATGATGAACTGGACAAGATTCAGAACAAATCACCCACAGTGCCATCACCTCTGACATAGAAATTTTCGCTAATCGTCTGACCTTTATTTGCAAGTTTGATCTGAGTTTCAAAACCAGGAACTAAGTTGGTGCTCTATCACAAAAATTTACAAATGTTCTAAGAACATTAGCATATATACAATAGGCAGAAAATTAGTAAAAATCGTTACTGAAAACTACAATAGAAGTTTTCAAAAGAATGCAAAAAAGCAAATAAAAAAGTTCTGTTTTGCCTAAGGTTTTCCTTGGACGACTAACTTTACTTATTACCCATATATAATGAACCCTTAATCATATGAACCAAGATGCTTCATTCATATTACTAGTGGTGAGCTCATCTTGCTTCGTATAACATAACTACCCTTCCCCTTCTGATATGGGAGTGAGACTGATCAATGCACTGAAATCTCTCCTATTCATGGGCTTAACTTCCGAACAAATGCATGCTTGAAGACAACTCCTAGCCTGGTCTAAGAACTTAAAACTTATAAGTTAAAACCAACTAGTTTTTAACATGTGCAGTCCTTGTCCTTAAGAGCTTCAGTTTCATTATGGCCTCAATTAACACATTGTTACCCTTTAGCATACAGCAGATGCCAAACATAAAGGAAAAGGAAAACATTAGACTCCATAGGTTTGGGCCACAGTATGGGTCATATAAAATTCATTGTCCAGCTGTTATATTACATATGCAAATATGATCAAGGAGACAGATAAATTCACTGGTAGCAAATAAATGGAATATCTAGGACTGAATTTTGATCTAGATAAAGATGCAAATATCTAAACACAAACACAGATACAAATATAACAATTGACATTAATGTGCTTGACAACTCAGAATATAACTTCAAAATGCAAGTTAGGAGTCTTAAAATAATCAGATGAACAAACATCAAATGCCTCGCTCACTCAATGGCTGTAGGCATGACACGCGTTTAGAGTTCTATATACATCAAAGTTTAGTTATAATAGATATATGGTTCACATCACTTGGGGACAATCAGCTTAAGCAAATAAGGAGATTAAAATGTTGGCAGATACCAAATGCAGTTGCCATTAAACATCTTTGACACATGTTTAAGCACTTTAAAAAAATTCACAAACTCTCACCATGATGGATAGATATAAGAATAACCAAGATTTCAAATACTGGTCAACACAGTGCATCCTGATTGGTATTGACCAATTTGACAAAGCATTGGTATCGTATCATATAATTCAGAACAAGTTAGTACTATCTTTTTATTCAATGATTTAAATAGCGCCCGAGCGCTTGCCTAGGTGCTCAGGCGAGGCAGGGCCCGAGTGCCTCGTGGGTGGACCAGGTGACGCGCTTCAATGAGGCGCCGCCTGGGCGCTCACCTGAACCCAGGCGTCGAGCGCCTTGGGCGAGCGCCCGGTTCAAATAAAGCAACTGAACCAGACTTTAAAGTCTAGTTCGATTCAACAGCAGTTAGTTGGTTTGATTGAACCAACTAACCAGCTTCTTACCCGCAAAAGCAACCCTTGCACGCCCGCACAACCCTAGCACTATTTCTGCCTCTGCTGCCAACGTTTTCTGTCGTTGCCTTCGCCGCAAACACAGTGGACCAAGCCTTCCTCTATCACCAACGGACAAGTCTGATGGTCTAGCAAGAGCCCGTAGCTTTCTTTTGTCGCTGCTCCATGTGCAGTTCCTCCCACCGTCGAGGGAGAGGACCACAGGTTCCTCCACCACCGTCAAACACCGTCTGGAGCTTCTGCTGCTGCTGTCCGCAGCTTCCTCCACTGCCGCGGCAATCTTAAACTGAATCCTTCGCCGCTACTGCTGCCGTCCACAGCTTCATTCATCACCGCTACCTTCTTCCCCACTTTCCATTGTCAGTGACACTTTTATCCCCCTCTACTACTGCTACCAGTTCTCTTTTCCTCTCTAACTACTGTTAACAGTAAATAATATACTGTTAACAGTAGATTGTTGACTACTGTAAAAAGTAATTTCTGTTTACTAGATTGATAATATACTATTTAGATTTTAACACTGCTAATCTTTGTATATTTAAAATTATTATTAGGATTTCAGGATAAATGGCAAGTGTACAAAGTAAGTTAGTAGATCTTTTAAATTTAATATCATATTTTTATTTATATAATCATATTTATCAATTATATTATATATTTTTTTATATTTTAATATTTCAGAGTGTTTCGCTTCCCTCAAACGAGCGCCTCGGGCATGTTAGGACCTTGGTGTCTTTTAGCGCCTAGAGCTTTTTAAATCATTGTTTTATTATTATCCAGCTAATACTAAAAGGTATGGATCGGTATACCCCTGGTACATCAATACCGTGTTGGCCCAGTAGAATATCAGAACTGGTACATGACCAAGATTTAAAACCTTGAGAGTGTGAATTTGACACTTTTGAAATGAGATGTTGTTCAATAAACAATTGATGACTTATTACTTGTCTAATCATGGTACATGGTAGGAAAATTGATCCACATAGTTAACAATGCCAAAAGGTCACAAACAAGAAAGAAAACATATATTCAAATTAATGTTCCATCTAAGAACAGGTGCAGTGGAACTATCTAATAAAAGTAATGCAAAAATACAACAAAGAAAAATATAAGCTATTAGAACACATTGATGTCAGTTAAAACACTACTCGCAATGATCAAATACCAAGTATTAAGAACAAACTTCAATGATCTAGCAAACCAATCAGCAGAACTCTCAGAAGACTTACCTGAGCAAAGTCCCCAAGGGCATAGTCTCGAAAAAGTACATAGCCACTTGGCTGGAAGATTGTAAAAGACATGATACTAAAAGTTAAACAAATAAAATCAGCAGAGAAACAAACTTTGTGACCATCAGGTTGGATACTCACTTTCAGAATGGTTCTGACATTCTGTAACACTGCAGGCATATTCATGGGAGAAACTGCAGACAACATAAAGATCTGCTAAGGTGTCAAGTGGTAAACTGTGAGATTATCTAATAACATACATAGCCAACTGAATTATAAGTGAGAAAAATCAACAGTTAAGTATGAAGAAATCATTTAAAGTAAAGAAAGGAAGGAAAACGTCAGTCGTAACAAGCCTAAAATCACCATTCAAAAAGAAATTCTGCATGCAAAAGACATTATCTTGTTAGAAGGGCAATTGAAATGATTGACACACAAGAGGTTGTTGGAGATTGTTACAAATGCTAATATTTGAATTTACAAAATTTAAGTACATGAATTCATTCATTTGGTGACAAATAGCTAACTAAAGAATCAACAGATCCCACTTCCAGATTTATCACATCCCCAGCTTGTCATGGGAGCTGCCAAGGGTCAGCACTATATATATATATATATATATATATATATATATAGGACAGGTTAAAAATCAAGTCCCAACTGCTACCGGCCAAAGCAATCCAATGCACTAATAAGCAGAATGTTTGTAAGAAACAAAATTACAGGTTTTCATAACCAGCACTATTTGAACAGTGGTATCTTCCACTAAATTAATCAGATGTGTCAGAATGCAAATACAGATCACCACTAGATGCTCCCAAGTCTCATCAAAATAATCTTAGAAACTGCCAATTGAGTGAATCTTTTGTTAGCCCATGAAGTACATCTCTCAGAAGAACCATCTTAATCTTTGTAACATACCCTAGCTGGTAAAACCTCAATTCTAGAAGTCTTCACAATTCAGATCATCTTATACATAAAAATCTCATATTGAAAAAACCAACCCCAAATATGTTCACATGAAATGAAAACAACTAGAGATTTCAGAATTTTGTTCACATGCTCTCTGGGTTATGAAACCCATAAAACACTGCAACTGATATGTCTAAATTTCAGAATTTTCAAAGCAGAAATTTAAGAATTAGCTCTTAAATATTTTCAATATTTTTCGCAACTTATGCCAGTTCAGTAGATGCATCAAACATTATCTTATAAAAATATAATCTACATTATTGCGGATTTGTAGCAGATAACCATACTACAAAATGGCGGACTCCAGGACATGAAGCTTTTGGTATTTCATGGAACCATTTTGAGAAAAATTACCATGGTAACAACATCAACTGATGATGGCATTATGATCTTGGAAAGATCATCCTTTGTTACATCACAAATAAAAGCATTCAATCTGTCTGAAACAGAAGCACCATTTTCCTGACAATTAAAAAAAATGATAGATAAAAAATTAGACTGCTACCATTCATTGAAGTATGCAGAACAAATGAACCTTTTCAATACTTCATTTTTTTTATATATACCTTAACAAAAGCAACTGCATGAGGTGAAAAATCACAAGCATGAATAAAAACATTAGGAAATGCAGCCAGAAGGGGGAAGAGAGTGTTTCCAACTCCGCAACCAACCTATAGCAAATCATCGAAATCAATTAGCACAAACACCCATTGAATAACTAAATTTCTCATACAGAATAATCTGGAATTTAAGTAATAAAAACATGCAAACATACACACACAATCATAAAGGTCTAGGTATAGTCACCAAACAATCAGAAAATGGCTGATAAAGCAAAGAAAAAAAAAGAGAAATGAGAGGGACGGCAGCCTATGTATTCTCATACGTAAATGTGGGAAAACTGAAAAGGCAACTTGTTTTTCTTGAACTCAATGGTGACATCAGACAAGCAGTGATAATCATCCTAGTTCACAAACTTTGTCCTAATCAAATAGCTTCAGCTTTTCTCTTAAAATATATTACATATTAATAGAAACATCTTTTCTATTTTTCCAATTCCTCATACACACATGGAGATTTTAGAAGAGACCAGTGATGCTCCTCACATCTGTGATGACTAGCAAAAATGTTTCAGATTATTCACTGTGAGCCAAGATATACATGTTTTAACCCGACTATAACCATATTATAAATGATTTATTTACATTCTAAGACAAATCAAAATTTTGACCTTGTGACACAACACCAACAATGAGGAGAAGAAAACGCACCATGTGGAAACTTCTATCATAATATTTTATAACAAAGCAGAAAAAGGAGGAGAATAAATCAACCAAGAAAGTAGCATGAAAACTAGATGGCCACAAATCATCCCCAAAATGAACCGAATCAACCGTAAAAAAGCGGATTACATCTAGCACGACGTTAGAGTTTGCATTAACCAGGGTTACCTCTAGTACGACCTTAGGATCCATAGATGCCTGACCGCTCTCCCCGGAAGACTGCGAGAGGACAAGTTGAACCACCATCTTAGCTAACAAGAACAATAATTCGGCTCAAAAAAGTCGAATAAATGGTAGTGGCGGTCTTTACAGCGAAATATCGCCGCCAATCCTTCTCCAGGTAGTGGCGATCTTTAAAGAACTGCTCCAACAAAACATTTCATCAAATGGCACAACGATTAAGAGCAACGGTAGATTGTCCAAGAGAGATGGCGAAGACGAACCTTGCCCTGGTGGCGCTTATAGAAATCGTCCCAATATTTGGTGGCGTTCCTCTCGTACTTTTGATTCTTTGCATTAGGGTTCAGATGGCTAGAGGCGGAGCGGCTGAAGTGAGGTCGGACGTTTTCCCCGATGCCACCGCCGCTGCCGAGACGGCGAAGCGATCGCATGCGGCAGCAAAGAGGGCGGTGGCCGAGAAGGGGAGCGAGCTGCATCGAGGGCGGTCGATCACTCGCCGTCACACCCACTCTCGCATCCGCCCATTGCGGACCGTGTGACGTATTTTGGAGTATCTTTACACATTTATCCTTGCACAGTTTTGAAATATCACGTTTGCCCTCTATATATATATATATATATATAGTGTTTTTATGTTGTTTAATTATCTTTAAAAATGATAATTCTGTTTTTTTTTTTGTTCTGACCGGTTTAATTGTGTGAATGGTGCATTCATCCGTTATGTATATAAAATTATAATTTGTATAATCTAAGATAAGAGAGGAAATATATTTCTGAGAGGAGATAATAATAAATATAAGAGATGGGATCGTTGACGTTGCCAAGGCGTGCCTCGATGTCAGCCAGCCCTGCTGGCTGTAACACACGTCACGGTTTTGACCGTGACCACAGACAGAGCGGACAATAGAGACTACGTGGTTGACCGGACAACCATGCATGGCCAACGTCAATGACACGGGAGAGGTGCCTTCTATGGTCTCCCTTGATGCTCGTTTAAGGTCTTTCGTTATGGTTTGAGGGGCAAAACAACGAGCAAGGAAAGAGAGAGAAGGGACGGAAGCCGTCTCCCTCTCTCCTGCTATTCACCCTTCAGCTTCCTTCGCCGTCGTCGCGGGTCGTCGTCGCGGCTTAACGAAGAAAGAACGAGCAAGGAGATGCCCATCGGAGCAGCGGACGATGGCGGCCGCCCGCCTGCGTCGACGGCGGTGGCCATCGACAAAGACAAGAACAGCCAGCAGGCGGTGAAATGGGCCATCGACCATCTTCTCCTCGGCAGCTACGCCGTCATCCTCATCCACGTCAAAACCAAGCCCCCACTCAACCGTAGGTACCCCTCCCCCTTTGGTTGCTCATGCGTACGAACATGTACCCGAACGCCTTCTTCCTCATGCGCCCGTTGCTCCTAATTCTCGTCTCTTACCTTTCGTCGTCGTAGCTGGTTGGTGTACATGACTCGGTTGTTGTTGCTGCAGATGAAACCACCTCCGATGCGATCCGAGAACAAGCGGAGAACGAGATGTCACAGCTGTTTCTCCCCTTCAGGGGATTCTGCGCTCGAAAAGGGGTGAGTAGCAGTTGCCCTCGGAAGCCACAATTTCTCCTCCTTTTCCCTCGACATTGTTCTGCAATAGCATCGATCGAACATGATCTTAGTTCGTAGATACGTATGGCTGAAGCATATCATACCTTCAGGTGCACATGACGGAGGTCGTACTGGAAGACAACGACGTGTCGAAGGCCATCATCGACTACATCAATACAAACTACATCCAGAACATCGTTGTCGGTGCCTCCAGCAGAAATGCACTGACGAAGTACCGCCACTTCTTCGTAGTCTCTGCAATCTATGAATCTCTCGTATTGTTTTCCAACAGAAGAAGAAGAAATCTCTGGTTTGGCTTTGCAGGAAGTTCAGGAACCCTGATGTGCCCACAAACATTGGTAAGCTGGCGCCGGAGTTTTGTGCAGTTTACGTCATATCGAAGGGGAAGCCGGTGACGGTCAGGACGGCGAAAAGCCCACCTCCTCTTGCCGGTGTTCTTCCTCCACAACCGTCGGTTCTGGCTAGCCCTCAAATGGCAGACCCTGATGACTCGATCAAGTAAGACAAGTCGGTGTTTTGATCGTTATCACCTGTTCATGAAAGCATGACATGGATGGGTAAATGGCATACCGTGCTGTTTTAGAACACCATTCACGAGGGCGGGATATCGAGGGACAATGGCACCGGGAACACCAGATAGAAGGTCCTTCGAGAGGAACATGGATCATATAAGGACACCGTCGCGGGAGCGCCCGCTGTTGGGAGGCAGAACACCACCCGGCAACGTGTTGCTCGACGGCATCGACTCTTCTCATCGCCCGCCGAGGCCATCCGCCTCGCGCGATATGATCTTCGACGACCTGGACTTCCAGGGGGGCACCGGGTTCCAGTCCATGGACTTCGGCTCGATGGAGATCTCATCTACCTCGTCGGACAGCCCCAAGGGTTCCCTCTCCCCTACTTCAGGTGTAGGTGCTCCGATCGTTGTTCTTGCGCACATCTTTTAACGTCTGTTCCGCGGTGAAAGCTTCTTCCGATGCTAATGTAGGCACAGCGAGACTTGGAGGCCGAGATGAGGAGGCTGAAACTGGAGCTGAAGCAGACGATGGAGATGTACAGTACAGCCTGCAAGGAAGCCATCTCAGCCAAACAAAAGGTGAAAGTCTTGACCAACTGAGGGATGCGGTCGGTGATAATAAGCTCACGAGGCGCCGTGATGCAGGCGAAAGAGCTTCACCAATGGAAGCTGGAAGAAGCCCGCAGGGTGGAGGAAGCAAAGCATGCCGAGGAGATGGCCCTTGCACTGGCAGAAATGGAGAAAGCCAAATGCAAAGCCGCGGTAGAGATGGCGGAAGCGGCGCAGCGGATTGCGGAGCAGGAGGCGAGAAAGAGGATGAACGCGGAGATGAAGGCCAAGCGCGAAGCAGAGGAGAAGGTCAAAGCGTTGGATGCCTTGGCCATGACCGACCTCCGGTACCGGAAGTACAGCATCGAAGAGATCGAGATCGCCACCGATCAGTTCTCCGCGAACCTCAAGATCGGTGAAGGCGGATACGGGCCAGTGTATAGAGCTTGTTTGGACCACACGCCCGTCGCCATCAAGGTCTTGAGGCCTGATGCTGCACAAGGAAGGAAGCAATTCCAGCAAGAGGTAGCCACAGAAAGAGAAAAACGGGTTGTTTATATGCCATTGCTAACCTTGTTATGACGACGACGGAAGTTGCTGGTGGTGATCGAGTTGTTTGCAGGTTGAGGTACTGAGCTCCATACGGCACCCCAACATGGTGCTGCTGCTGGGGGCCTGCCCCGAGTACGGATGCTTGGTGTACGAGTACATGGACAACGGGAGCCTGGAGGACCGCCTCTTCCGGCGAGGCAACACTCCGCCGATACCATGGAGCGTGCGGTTCAAGATCGCTGCAGAGATAGCCACCGGGCTGCTCTTCCTGCACCAGGCCAAGCCGGAGCCGCTGGTTCATCGGGACCTCAAGCCGGGCAACATCCTCCTCGACCGCAACTACGTGAGCAAGATCAGCGACGTGGGCCTGGCGCGGCTGGTGCCGCCGTCGGTGGCCAACCAGGTGACGCAGTACAGGATGACGTCCACCGCCGGGACCTTCTGCTACATCGACCCGGAGTACCAGCAGACGGGCATGCTCGGTACCAAATCCGACATATACTCCTTCGGCATAATGCTTCTGCAGATCATAACCGCCAAGCCTCCCATGGGGCTCACGCATCATGTGGAGAGAGCCATCGAGAGGGGATCCTTCACGGAGATGCTCGACGCCACCGTGAAGGACTGGCCGGTGGAGGAGGCGCTTGGGTTCGCCGAGCTGGCTTTGAAGTGCGCGGAGCTGAGGAGGAAGGACCGGCCAGATCTGGGGACGGTGGTGCTACCGGAGCTGAACCGGCTGAGGAATCTTGGCCATGCTTATGAAGATAGTTTCAGCGGCGGAGGCGGGAGCGGCATTCCCTCCACCGCCAGCAGCAACAGCAGCAGCAGCTTCGGCACTGGGCCGCCAACTTTGAATGGAAACCTTCGAGCCACGTCTCTTGCCAATCAGGTGCTGCACTCATCACCATTACAAGAGCTAAGCTCAGATCAGATTCTAATGGCAATTGCACTTGTGTTGACCAGGAGAAGGCTTTGAACACTCCAAACGTAGGGACGCAATGGAAATCTACGATGGACACAATGCAGCAGTGAAGGAGGGACGGAGTGTAAAGCTAGGAGGAAGCTTAGGGCAAAACACAAAAATTACCTTGGTGCATGTATGACATCTCATTGTTATCTCCATCGACATGAAAGGATTCCCTGAAAAGAAAGAAGTAAAACTCATATCGATCAGAAAGAAAGAGACTGGAATTTTGCATACGCACTCCACGGACGCATCTGTTTCCTGGTGATGTATGCTGCAGTGAAAACACTTGTATGCGTGGGCTGTAAATTAACATACAGGTCACGTAAAGCTTTAACTCCGGTCAAGAGCAATAAAGGTTGTCTGTTATCTTAGACAAGGCATCATGCAAATATAGTGCAGCAAAATTTCGAACAGCAATTAACGTAGTGATAAAGGAGGCGTAGTTTAGCAGAAAGAAAGCATGAGTTCTTCTCTCGAGCAAAGAAAACGTGAACATACAGCACGCATTCATCATGACCATGATCTACAAAGAAGATAATATATTTAACAGCCTAAAAACAAGCGCACAAGAGGAGGAACTCCTCAACCTGAAGAAAGAGAGACAAGGAAAATTATCCAAGTAGCATGCATGGAACAACCACCTAGGTAGATCTTCTACTAGAAGACTAACTCTAATATAATTAGGCCGAAGAAGACTTTGGCAGGAATTATATGCACATCACATGTACTTGTAGGATCCCAAGGTGGAATCGATCATGCAACAGGTTAAGGTTACAGTAGAATCTTGGACAGTGCACCTTACTGCAGCTACTTGTTCCTTAAGCTATACATTAACCATCAAGAAGTCAACTGAGGTGGAGTGGTGAAATTGGAAATAGCCGTTTCTTGTGCCTAAGAGTTATCTTAAAGGAGAGGCAGCAGTTTAGAAGAAGCATAAGTTTCAGGGACGGACCTTGTGTGCTCTCTCTCCATGGTTTCCTACGGCACTGCATCTTTCCTTACACAAGCTGATGCGTTGTTGAGGAAGAACCTGATCTACCAGGTGCACATTTCATGATGCTCTCTGCCTCCTTGTTTCTCCATGTTTTTGTTGTCTTGTGTTGCCATGTACTTCCATTGTTCTGTCATCCTCTTCTACACTGCTGCGGTGGCTTGTTATGAATGTTCACATCTTTTTTCTCCTCTCAGTAACCCTGATATCTGTGGCTTTTGTTCATTTAACAAATATAAGAGAGAAGAAACCCGGTTCACAACCTTTACAAAGTTTTCTTTCTTGTATAAAGTTTAGAAAGTAGAAACAGCAACAGAAGAATTAAATGTCATACATCACAAATACTAAAGTTGAGGCATTGATTAATTTCCTCTACATAGGTTAATCAATGTCAGAAATCATCAGTGAGAATTAGATGTTTATTTTTCAGTGCACAGGCATCATATACCGTACATATGATACCAATATCCAGGAAGAGTAGTTTGCTGATAGCTAAAAAGCAGAGAAGTTTAACCAGAATCCACCGTTTGTAGATTAAGTTCTCTGCAATTGAGTACACAAATGTTTGATACATCAAGCCACTTTAGGCAGAACCATGCTGGATAATATAAAATTGATGTGTTGTTTGGGAGAGAAAGAAGAGCATATATCAGACAAAATTAGCTTCCTGAAACTTGTTCAGGCATCCTGACCAAACTTGAACAGGTGTGAAGCTAATGAGATCTTATCTCAGGTCAAAACTAGTGTGTTTTGAGAAAGATAATATTAATGCCCCCGTTAGCAATGATCATTGTGGAGACATAGCAAAATGATACAAGTTTTTACATTACCTAAATGATACGTGAGAAATACAATCATCAGGTAACAAGCTCTCAATATCTTTAGGAGTAATGTAGCTAAGGACTGGCAACTTACCCTTTTTGGTGCAGAGAAGAAACATCAAGCAGAACATCATTTTGACCATCTACCCGGTATTCCTCTGCTTGTTAATCATCTCCATCCAATCAGTTGTGAACAATGAACTGGACAAGCCCAGATACCATTGTGGCTGCAAATGTATCGATGCAAATGGATCGGGGACATGTCGCGATGTATGTGGAGTGCAGTTCTCAACTTCCATTCAGGCAATTGCTTGCCCAGTACCAAGACCCCAGGAGTGGCCTGCTCTAGTGCAGGTGCCCAGTGCTAAATATAGAGCAGTAAGGGCAGCCTCCCACAACTTTCGGGGCTTACCTGATGGCTCCTGCTTCAAGGATCTCTCTTGCGCAGCAACATCACTCTTCACTGGACAAAATGAATCCATTGCAAAAAGTAAGTCAGTTGAATTTCTAACAAGATTAGAAGAATTTGCATATTTTGAAGCAACAATCAGCAACCAAAATTCTATTTGCAGGTCTAGTGAAGAGGATACTCTTAAATTCAATTCCAGAGAACAAGGAAGATATTTCAAGCTTTGTTTCTGTAGCTTATCTTGTATGGATCTTTCTAATCTCAGTTCCTTATCTGAACCTCTATTTTTCGAAAATCTTAAGGTTCCAATTAACCGAAGTATGTTTCAGGGAACAAACAGCATTCCTGGTCCAGACAACTATGTAGAGCGCGGTCTACTCTCTCAATCCCCTGTGCACCTTATTTTACCTCTCTGCTCAGTAAAGTTTAACCTAACAGTTCCAGTAACTATAGGTGATGTTCAAAATAAAAAAGGCAGGTAGCATTACTTGGGAGAATTAATGAAACGAAATTGGAAGAACCATAATATTAGTTTCTTTCTTCGCAGAGGTCAACTGCATAAAAAACCTATATCTTTGGCGTGAAAATTCATCCATCATCAACGAAGAATTATTTCAAGGTTATCGGAAAGGAAATCCTGCTCATAAGATCAGCGAATATGTTGGAGGTCAGAGTAAAATAAATTAAGTTTGTAATAACAGGTATCAGCAGATTATGAAGGTATTCTAAATCTTGAATTCTCTTGCAGCTTATGATTTCCTGAATACAAGCAAAATTAATTTCAATGTAAATTTGTGGTACAACTCCACCTATAGCAATCGGGGCAAACCACGGCTATTGCGGGTACCAAGAACCTTGAATATGGTATGCATAACAATCCTAAAGACTCAGATTTTGATCATACAATGTGATGTTTAAGATTCTCTGTTCCTCTTCTATCTCTGTAGCCATAAGGCTACTTTAAGAAGGCTAACTTTTAGAACCACCCCCACCTCACTTCCAAAAAAGAAAAGTCACACAGACAGAGAAAATAAAAGAGGTCAGGAATGCTGAAAGTAAGAAATAAGAGGCTCAGATATAAGTGCATGGATCTAGTATTTGTGTTTATATATAACGTGCTTTCAAACAAACTAACAAATAGAAGTGTATGGCTTAATTTTCTTGGGGAACATGGTAACCTGAAGCATCTGAACAAAACTAGTAATAAGGAAGAATGGGACTGGTTTGAGTTTGTTTGAGTACCAAGTGGTTGCACACTTGAGACATGATTATACTTCATAAAGAATTACTAAATTTGAGTAATTTAGTGAAATTTTGACAGCACCAAGGAGTTTCATCCTTGACTAGCATCCCACTGCCTTATTCACAGCACACACATAAAATTTTATGGTCATTTTATATATTACCACTAAGAACTCTTAATGATGATATATTAATCCAAAAAGATATTCTTTCCATGCTTATAGTCATGGCCCCTTAGGAATGGATTGTTTATCAGTTAGCAACTACAATGTGGAAAAAAAATAGGCTGTATGCCAACAATAATTTATGTCCAGATTCAAAATTCAACATCCTTTTTGTTCATAAACAGTGTCTTATTTGGTTCAGGTCTCAGAAGATAAATAAAGAGAAAATATTTGTCTGGATAGGAATAAACTATAGAACTTCAAAATCATCACCAAGATAATCAGTTGAGAAGTAATGTATATATACCACATCACACCTAAATAATGCACCGATGATCCTAATTAACATCATAATCAAGATTTATGATATTAAATGTTTCCTAAGATGCAACATAGTGTCACATAAAGCATTCTAAAAAATTTTAAACTAATTCATACATAAAATTGATACATGTTTTACAGTATGATACATTTTTTTCAGTATAATACATTTAGAAGTGCACTGGACCGCCTTTTGGTATAAAACATTTATAACAAAAGATACACATCTAGCCGAGTAAACAACATCCTCTGTTAAACATTTTGTCTCCACTACAACGACTACTTAAATCAAGTTTCAAGTTACAGATTTATTAATTACTTCCATGGGAATCAATATCAACTATTTCTTTCATATCAGTTGAAATGTTTTTCAACCAGATGTTTCCATGTGTTTCCCAAACATTCAGGTCTCAAATGCATTTCTTCGCCAATTTAAGTCTTCGAAGAGTAGAATCCTTCTTAGTTATGTCAAAGAAATGCCCAAGGCAGGGACAAGGATTGCTCTGGACTTGTCAGAATTACTTGGTCCACTTCTTTATTCATGGGTGGTCCAGTTGCTATTACCTGTAAGCAGGATTCTTCTCATCTATTTTTTTTTTCAAATTATATAAAACTTTAGCAAACTTTGGGTTCGTTCCACGTGGTAACTTCATGTTCTTTCAAAACAAAACTAATCTCTAATTTTCTTTTATAAGGAAAAAACTTTGGTTGTTGCATAGCCTTTTTTTTCACTAATTTGGTCAGCAATATATTTGTTTCTGTAACATCACATATTACTAGATGAATCAAAGAAAGCAGGGATGGTCAACTTCAACCTATAAAGATGCAGATAATCAAAACATGATGCTAGCAATGTTCTCAAAGGAAAGATTTGCAACGTAAACCGTATTGTAACCTGGGTTGGTTTTCTAGACACCTCAAAATTCAAAAATTTACCTCTATGTTTGCTACTTGTCAGTGTATCTTTTCAAACTTGGTCCATGTCCTCGTCTTAGTCACTCATCATCTCATCAGAAACAAGTTAACTTATAGACAGAAAACTTTAAGAAATCCTCCAAGAAATACATTGTGAAAAAAACAAAAAGTTTCAAACACAATTTGAAGTTAAAACAAAAGCAAATTTTAGTATTTATCTCCATAGCAAACTTTGCCAATGGCACTTACAATCTCTTTGATGACAATGCAGGTCTTCTTGATTTCTCTAGTACATGACAAACAGCACATGATACGAATTATGATGAAGGTACATGGGCTTGGAGATGGACCATATTGGGTGATCACTTACTGCCACTTTTTGTCCATATCATTTCTTTATATGCTGTGGTTGGCTACTTTTGGATCTATCATAGGTATGTCAATCACCAGTCTAAGAATATCCTGGATTTGGAAAATGTTTTATACACTCAACGCTTTCTTGCTGGACATCCTTTCCAGGACTAGATATTTTCAGACTGAATAACTACTGTATCCAATTCTTATTCTATGGACTCTACATAAACCTACAGATTGTACTAGCCTTCTTGGCAGGGATTGGATTTTCTGATGTCCACAGTGCTGCAGGTAGTCTATATTCTCCATGTTTTTAGATCTATTACAGTAGTGACTTGCAAAAGTCATAGTTTAATAAAAATCTTATCCTCAGTTGTAGGCTACATTTATGTGTTTGGTTCTGGACTTCTGGGTTCCTTCCTTTTCCAATTTTATATTGAGCATCTAGACTTCTCAAGTAAGTTTTTAAATATTAAAAGAAATAAGAGACTGCAGAGTTCCATGTTATGATATCATTGGATGTGATTGAAGGAAAGACGCTATTCATCATGGAGCTAATTCCTGGTTTCTCATTGTACCGAGGACTATATGAGCTCTCACAATTTGCATTAGGAGGTCATTACCAAGGAACTTATGGTATGCAGTGGAAGGATTTGAGCGAACATGACAATGGCATAAAAGAAGTTTTAGTCATCATGGCATTAGAATGGCTGATTCTACTTTATGTATCATATTACCTTGATCAACTGGCACTTGCAAGGAATGGAGCATGCAGATATTCATCAATTTTCACAAGAAACTTCAAAAACAGGAGCATTCAACCCACGGTGCCAATCAAAATTCCCAGTTCAACTATAACTGTGGATCAAGAGAACTCTGATATTTTTGAAGAGGTAACCCCTGTCACAATTACTCCCTTCAGATGTGATTATTTCATTTACTAGATGCTTCAGCATCTTGTGATTTTCCGGACAGGTCTGCAAAGTTGAGAATTTGTTGAAAAAATCTACCGGAGGTCATCCTATTATTTTAAGTAATTTGGAAAAGGTTTATACGGGAAAGGATGGAAACCCAAACAAGCAGGCAGTTCACAGCCTATCCCTAGCAGTTGCAAAAGGAGAATGCCTTGGCATGCTTGGTCCAAATGGATCAGGGAAGACTACCGTTATCAACATGGTACCTACTTTGGATCCTATTTTGACATTGGAAACCAGAATCAATTAGAAAAATCCTAGACTGAAGACATAACATTGATATGCATGTAAGATAATTCTGGCTCTTTAATAGAGGAATCCTTATGGCTTCATTGACCACATTCAAGCTACAATTTGGACATAGGCCAATGTAATGGTACATATTCTGAGGACTTATCTATAGGGCTTCAGTGTTTCAGAAGAAGCAAATTTCCTAGCATACTTTAGAACATTTTAAGATCAAATTCAGCATGATAGGATTATTCCAGAGGTCTTCTATGATCAAACATGTCAACATTCCACACTTATTTCTATGAAAATTCTATGTGATATGCCTACTGCAATTCAAAATTGTCAAATACATTCACTTGATCATGGCACACAAACGAAGTTATGGAAATGAAGCTATAACTCAGTGAGTAATTCACATCCATGACAAAGAGAATGCACTGTTACCATAGTTACACACAGTAGATGAGAAATTAACTAGCTAATTCTCATAGTGAGATGGAGAATACATCCTAGAAGGAATGATAGCCAATTTCATTGATAACAATGTTGAATCTGATTTGTTGTACTTGCCTAGAAGGTCTAGTCTTGATGAGGTCCTTCAAGAAGCTTTCTTGACTTGTCCAAAAAACTGATTAATAAAAAAGAAACCATAATATGTCAAAGAACAGCAGATACTCTTGTTCTCTTTCTAAGAAATTTTCCACTACCAAGATTCCCAAGTTTTTTAGGAAAAGCTATCATCACTCTTGATAGGTTGGTTTTGCAAGGTAAATCCTCAGTGCATTGGATTAAAGTACTTGACAATCAGATCAAATAACAGTGCATACCTGAAAGTTGATTACTAACATAAACTTGTGTAGTGATAAGTTCCATGTTGCAATCTACATGTAACTAATTCTGGGTATACCTCTCTGTAGGTGACTGGACTGCTTCTTCCAACATCAGGAAGAGTATTTCTTAGCAACAAAGAAATAAGTTCAAGTATGGACAACATTCATACAAAGATCGGCATCTGCCCACAAAAGGAGTATGAGTCCCTCATCATTTTTCTTTTTTCTCATTTGCCCCTCATCTAAAGTAATAAGTTAAATATGATGTGCCCATGTTAATATACAAAATCATCTGTGACATTGAACTACTCCTGTGACAATGTTAAAGCAAAGCATCCATTGTTTACTGGCATTGACATTTTCACTGCAGCTTGCTCTGGGATAGTTTGAGTGGGAGGGAACACTTGATGTTCTATGGCAGGTTAAGAAATCTAAAGGGTCTGGAACTACAACAAGTAAGAAAAAGATCATAGTACCAACTTCATATTGTAGAATATACCTTGTTCTACAGTATCAAAATGCTTGCAAGCTTTTTAATATTCTCTTTCCGGCTGCTACTTACAGAAAGATAATTCCTAACCTTGATTGGGCCAAACAGGCAGTTGATAATTCACTCAGAAGCTTGGATCTTTATGAAGGCAATGTGGGTGATCACCTTGCAGGAACATATAGTGGGGGCATGAAACGGCGGCTCAGCGTAGCAATTTCCCTTATTGGAGATACACAGGTTTGTCTGAGTAATTAAGTCTTACCATTTTTATTTAGTTCTCGTCCAGTATGTTCTTAAGTAATATTAATGGCAAATATTATACAAAGACATCACAAGCAGTTGGCCATGCAGGTTGTGCTTTTGGATGAGCCAACCACAGGTCTGGACCCAGATTCAAGGAATTACTTGTGGCACGCCATTAAATTGGCAAAGAGAGATCGGGCTATTATTCTTACCAGTAAGTTCGTACACTTGGATCTTGTTTAAATGTGATTGCAATAGCAAATCAGCCTAAATTACTTCAAGCTGACATAGATCCTCTTTAGGAAGACTTTAAGTATGTCATCAGCACCTTTTAGTAGTTTCTATTTGCTACAATGACTGTGTTGGATCTAATAATTAAAATGAGAAGTAAATATTTCTGTTGTATCATTTTTTTTTGCCTTCTTCATTGTACTTGAAACTAGGATTCGATCTCTTTAGTTTTACTTCCTCAATTTCAGAACTACAGACAAAAAATTGTTTTGTAACATCTAAAGAGTCTATTATTCCAGATTTTTAGTGTACTTGATTATCAGTTCTCGTAATTCAGAACTACAAGAAAATAAAGTATTATATTCCATTTCAAAGGGTCCTGGTTGTTCCGTGTTCTCTTTCATAGAGCGTTAGATTCTTATAATAAAGTGGTTTGAAGGAGAAGATAAATGATAACAATATTCCATTTCCAGTTTGAATTTAGCATGCATCACCATGATTTTCTTGCTGCAAAGCCTTTAGAAAGTTACTTGCACACAGCTAGGTGTGGAGCATAGAGAAGAAATGGACTGCTAAGCATAGGGAAAGAAAGCATCTGGATTAGCTACCAACTCCAATGAGATTTCAAAGAGGACTAAAAAGAAGTAAGAAATTGATAAGGACATAAAGAGGTTGTTTGATTCAGGCCTTAGTCCTTTAATGATTGATTAAGGTAAGACTTAAGCTTATGCATCTGCTGATCATCTTGCCTGGTCTCTTTAGATTAGAAAATTACGAAAGATAAAGTTAAGGTCAATGGATTATTTGCTTCAATCTTTTTACGCATTCCATATTTCATGAAACAATGGCATATAGATGAAGTAGGCATGATTTTTTATTTAAATTAGGTGTTAAACCCCACCAGCCTTGTTTATCAACAAAATGCACCATCCACCACCAGTATGGAACTAACCAAGGCATCACAATCTTTCCCACTCGAACCTAACATCATCATTAGGGTCTAAAATCTACAGATCAAAAATCATCTCTGAGGCTCCAATATAAGTTTCTCCCAAGAAAACTATGACTAGAATGTGCACAAGATAGTCCACATCTTGGCACGTGCTAACTCACGTGGGAAGCCAAAGTTGCTGTGGTACCAATTGTCAAAACCAAGCAATACACTAGACTGGCCCAATACTTTAGATGAAAACAAGCCTAAACCAGATGACTTAAAAAGCATAAACCCAAGAACAATTAGTAACAACAAACCATTAAGGGGAAAAGAAAACAAAAATAAATGAAATGATGGAATAGTCCTACACAACTACAGAGCAAAACAAAACAATGACTCCAGTTGCTTTTGTCCAAACCTGATTTCCTTGTAGACTGAGTATAAGAGAGGAGTCTAAAGAATTTCTCATCTTTTTCAAGATATATGCATCATGATACCATTCATATGAAAAATTGGCACTAGAAAAAAAAAATAGCCCAAGAACAATTAGTAACAACTAACCATTAAGGGCAAAAGAAAAGAAATGATGTAATAGTCCTACACGACTACAGAGCAAAGCAAAACAATGACTCCAGTTGCTTTTGTCCAAACCTGATTTCCTTGTAGATTGAGTATAAGAGAAGAGTCTAAATAATTTTTCATCTTTTTCAAGATATATGCAGCACGATACCATTCGTATGAAAATTTGGCACTAGAAAAAAAAAGTTAGCCACTGTGCTGCTTTGATCATTACCATCCATTGCTCCAAAGAAGAATATAGAATGATGATGATTATGTGCCAAATTGAGTTTCAACAAAGGGATGGAGCTCAGCACAAGCTGGGGAAGATTGGAGAGCCTGAAATGCAGCAAATATGTAGACAGGGAAGAGCTTTAGCATTTGTGTCCTTTTCCCAGGAGAATTGTTCACTTAAACTAAGAACATGAGGGTACAACAAGTAGAAACTAAATGATATATGCAACAACATGCTTAGGGCGCATATGTGTTATTCAATAATCCATGGAACACATTCTCTTTTAGAACCCTGACTACTGGCATGTGAAAACAAGGAAGACAACATTCAAAAAGATATTAATGTAAATTTGAGCAAGTATTATTGGCATTAATCATTGGAAACTAGTTTACTCGGTAGTATATCAGAAATTATGATCAATTGATGAACATATGCTAGAGCCACGATTCCAAAACTAATTATTTTCCAAATTGCCCCACATACTAATTTAGAATATTTTTGAATCACTTTACTCTTTATTTATTATATGATCCATAAAACATGTAAATTTTAAGGTGCTCCTCCATAGCTACAGATTTTGATTTCCAAAATGAACTATCATCAACAGTTTATGATGAAAAACTGGCCTTGACGAGGACAACTTGTACACATGAATGCAAATTGAGCAGACAAATCTATGATTGATATTTCTAACCTTCACTTAACTCAAATTGCAGCACACTTAATGGATGAGGCAGAGTTTCTTTGCGACCGTCTAGCAATCATTGTGAATGGCAGATTGCGGTGTGTTGGAAGCTCAAGTGAGGTGATTGATAAAACTTATTACCTATGACTCGACATTTATCTCTTGTTCTATGATTAAGTACAACATATGTAGAGCTACAAGATTAATATGATTCAAATGAATGCTTGCTAGAACTTCTACATGTCGGTTATCAACTATTTAGAGCAAGACATATCTATAAAATCTAAAAATATGAGGCAAGTTCATCCCTCATCAGAACATGAGGGCTGATGATATTGCTTCTCAAAAAAGTTCGATACCAAGAACCCAACAAAGTTACTCCAGCAAGTTAGCTAATTTCCAGAACTTATTCAGCAACCAATGAGTTGTTGGTCTCATCACTAAATGATACTACCACAGACCTCACATCACTAAGCAATTCCTTCACCAGTAAATGTATATAAATGTCTTTGTTAAGCATCTGGAACTCTTTACAAAGTTATAAAGCTAAAACATTCTCCTTTTCCATGAAATCATGCTTCAATTAGTTCACACAATTCTGGATATATTTGACAATAAACGAGTAGGTTTCACCTCACACCACCGGGCCAAATCTAGAAAATGAACCACGGAAGTGGAATTTTCATGTGAATGCATTTTGAATTTTTTTTTAATTGAAAATCTAGAAAATATGCAACTTTGCTTATTGCAGAATCATGCTAAAAAAAAGGCTTATTTTACATGCAACCATCCCTTTTCCAGTGCTTTCCTATGAAGTTTCTTTTTTAGTCACAACAAAGTTCAAGAAAACAACTCTTGCTGGTTATTGGAAATCTTTTCACGTACCTTTATGTATTACAGCTCAAAACAAGATATGAAGGATCGTATCAACTTACCATATCAGCAGATCCTATCAACAAGGACATTATTGAGGATATGGTGACTAGCCTCTGTTCAGATGCCATGAAGATTTATGATGTCATTGGGACCCAAAGATTTCGGCTACCCAAGCAAGTGGTAAGAGTTCAAGAGATCTTTAAGGCCATAGAAGTTCTCAAGAGACGGGTAGCAATTCATGCTTTCGAGGTGACCGGTACCTCTATGGAGGATGTCTTCAGCAATGTAGTTAATCACGCACTGGAAAGCGAAATAGATTAGATTTTGTCAGAATTTTGTTGCTTTATCATTTCCAGTGTAAAATTACTTTTATGCAGACTTAAGATGAATGTAGCAAAGAGTGAAAGTGGCATGTACATAAAAAGTGCATCCCTATGCAAAGCTCTGATGTGAAGGCCACCAAGAGTGTTAAAAGCAAATGCTAGCAAAGTTAGCCCTTCAGAAAAGAAAGATTAGAGGGGAAAAAGCCAGATTGAATTACTGCAACTGTCAATAGTTTTATCATGTCCTCTATGTTTGTGCAGCATATTTTGAAACTAGAAATGCAAATAGTTGGATCTTATCGAAAAAGACATCCAGCGACCAAACATTATATAAACCTGAGGTCCCTTATGTATTAAAAAGCAAAAATTAAAGAACATTAGAACAATTACATTGAAACATAAAAGTAGGCTCCTAGAAAGATATCATGACAATCTCGAGTATAAACTCCTAATTCAGAAGTACCACTACCACCATAAGAAGTAGATCAGATCCACAGTGACCAAATGGAAAGTTACGGTGGTTCAGGTGAGAGTAGCCTATTTAGCATTTGCCTCCAAAGCGCTAGCTCATGGCCCTCAGAGGACATCCAGTAACAGCAATCTTAGTAACACAACTGCATAAACTTGTGTATCCTACGAACTTGGAAAATCCTCACCCGTCCGATGAAGAAAGAACCGAACGATACTAAGATGAATGAAGCAGAAGAAAAATTAGACGGTGGACGGGTATCAGATACGTCGATCTAGGGTGGTTTCAGATGAGGGTGACGAGCGGAAGGTCCGTGAGTGGTCGCCGGGGACGGCAGCGGGGCGTAGTAGCGGTGAGACTCATCTGATCGCGTCCGCGGCCCCTCTTGTCGGCCCGGTCGGAGGTGGCGGGAGAGGGGATGGATGGACAGATCAGGACGAGGCATTGGCGCCCGCGGGCGGGCGGGCGGGCGGACGATGGCGGGGACGAGCTTGGAATACTAATAACGACGACATCACAAAATCCCACGGCGCCTCCTGCGAACGCGGCTAAAAAGACATGCAACGATATTACAGAAGGAAGAGTATACATTAAATATTTCTTTTTTGGAGAAACCTCAAATTTCTGAGTTTTCTCCCCATAATTTAATATTAGTTCAACTACTAATATCTCATCTTTATTATTATTTTCTAAATAATATATTATGTTTAAAAATGAATAAATTCAAGTTTAAAGCTAAGCGAGAGAAAAAAAATTCTCATAGAAATCATTTTACGAACCCTGAAAATGTATAATAAAATTAACAGTTAAGATCAATAGAAACTTAAGCTAATTAAAATTTAAGTACAATATTTGTTTAAAGATAATTACAATGCTTTGATTTAGTAATTATAACATTTTCTAAAGATAATTAAGACCAGCTGTAATAAGGGTAATTTTGTTCCTGTGAAATAATTGAGACAATTCATGGGAAATATAAAAACATTACACCTAAAACAGGAAAAATCTAAAAATTGTTTCACAAAAGAAAACAACCAAAATTATTAGTCTATGATAATTTATGGTAATTGGGATTTTTGTAAAAGTAGATCATTCGAACAAAAGGCTTCAGTATTTACACAATTTTGTAATCTTAGCACAAATCTAAAAATTCTAAAGATTGTTTCACAAAAAATAAAAATCCCAAAATTATTAGTCTTCGATAATTTATGGAAATTGGGATTTTTGCAAAAGTAGGTCATTCGAACAAAAGACTTGAGTATTTACACAGTTTTGTAATCTTAGCACAAATCTATACTCGTCATGGGATTAGTCCCTGCCAACAAGCAGGCAGCAGCCCTGGTTTTGAGAACAGAACAAAGCAAATGGAGAACAGCAGTCTGCAGACCGGTAGAGGAAAGTGGTGTTGTCTGCAACACAACAAGCATTCGATGAGGGAACTCCGGTTGCAATTTGCTGTGTGCTAAGCAGTGATATACAGTGATAAACTAATGTACAGCTCCGATAGGAATGTTCTCCCACAGCAAAGCGAAACCCTATAGCCACTAACGTGGCACTGATGGTCTTCTCCTGCGATACACGACATACCAACAGATTTATTCAAGTTTCCATCGGCAAAAAATAAAATCTCCAATACCTACAAATGCACATTCTACCATGGAATGCATTTAAGCAAGAATTTTGGTTTTTTTGGTGTGTTGAATCGAAAATAAAGAATAATGTGTTTATTAAGTTAAACCAATTGTCTAAATCAAACTCTTATGATGGTGGAGAAAAAACCAAATATGAATAATAAGAAAGAAGTTGTCATTGTCAGAGGGCTCCCCCCAACCCCATTTTCGTCTGTTAGCTTTCTTGCACCTTGAGAATTTCCGCACCCCTTGACTGATGCATACCACACTTTCTTGGTTTCTATTTCAACTTCCTCGGTCCGTGTTTCAAGATGGGGCAGACAATAAATATTAAATACAAAACCAAAATAAAAGGAAGTCCTTTAAGAAGTCAATAAGCAATCACTTACTGAAAAAGGAAGAAACCCTAGACAAGAATGATGGAGAAAAGCCTATGGTTATACATTGATTAGGACAAGAACGATGGAGATAAGCGTATGGTTATACATTGATTAGGACTAAGGAGTATATGATAATGCAGTTATGATCAACAGCCAAGAGAATGCTAAATGAAATCCAGACTTTTATATTGAGAACCAACCACCTCAAAAATAATTAGCATATATATATATATACACACACACACAGGCAATTCAAAAGGCTGTTCAAAGCTAGACAAATGTCTCGATGTTGGGAGTTTGCTCTAATGGTGTTCTCAACCTAATCAAGTAATATAAGCAGAAATAATATTTTTATGGATTTAACTAAATATTGCTCAGCTTTTAGTTTCTTAAACACTGATACAACATCGATTTGATATGCATGTTACTTGTGATCATATGGGTAAGATCTTAACACACAAACTGACTGGTCAAAAAAATCCAAGTGTAAAAGTTAACAACCAGCATAACAGCAATCAACAAAACCAATTCAACATAAGAATGATTGAGAAAGCTGAGAGCATTATGTTGGACCTCATTCACGGAATAATTATGTGAGAGATTTGCCAGCCCACTCTCGCTCCCGTCGCTTGAGCTTAGCTTGCATTTTGTTAAATTTTTCTTTGCCCTTCTCTAGAAGAGGATCATGCACAACATATTCATTTGGGTCATCTTTCCTAGTCATGCCATCCTGCAAAGAAAGATCTCAAACTAAATTATCATGACAAGGGAGGACGGAAAAATCCTGAAATGGGAGACAAGTGGTGGCTAAATAACCTTCTCAGAGGATTCGGGAATGAACTTCAACTGGGTTGCCATCCATCCAGAATCATCTTCCTCGTTATTATCCTTAGAACCATTACTACTCGGTGAAGAGAGCTTTGTGGAGAGACTCTTTTTAAATCTTTGCAGCTTTGCTAGAGTCTGGTAGAAACACAACCCACTTAGCAATAATCAAGCCATGAAGAACTGTTAATAAGTAAATGGCAAATTAGTAGCTACTATTAATAAATCCAAGTTCACGAACACTTCATGAATCTCCCCAGAACAGCAAAATCGCATGGCATTGTGCTTATTAAAAAAAATTGTAGTGAATTTAATAGCAGAATAGAAGTTTCATGCATGTCAAGTGAGTACATACATCTTCTTCACGGCCCTGATTTCGTCGCTTCTTCTGCTTCTGCAGTTGTCTTTCTTGTTCAGCATGATTAAGTAGCTCCAAATCTGCATCTGCCTTTGCCATAAGTTCAGCCCTAGCTTCTGATCCCATACCCTTTTTCTTCATGGACAGTTTTTCAACCTTGGTATTTTGACCTTTAGTATCATCATCATTTCTCCTGTAAATATAAGGATATATTTAAAACAGATCAACAACAACAATAGCAACAAAGTCACAAGTCAAAAAATTAAATAAAAAAAGGCATTGCAGGTCCTCCAGTCCACGATACACCATCAACCTTTCTTGTTGGTTTTGCTGACTCGACTAAAACAGATAAAACAATTTTAAATAATAAAAAGAGCATGTTGTCCTCACCCAGCATCGTCTCTAAGACCATAGGAAACAAAAGAACCAACCACTCATTCAATAATCAGCCAGACGTGTGTCCCTTCCAAGAAAGGTATAAAATAATAAGCCTTGGTGGAGGAGGAAAATTTTCAGAAACAACAAACTGATATTTATGATCTCTAGCCTCTATACCACCACAACTGATGAACCTGAACTAAATTGGAACCAACACACCAGTAGGTTAGATCTGCTAAACTAATTTGCTTTCATAAGTTATCAGTGATGCGGTCTAGGTTAGTATAGTATCATGTTAAGTAAATGAGTCAAAGTCGGGTCAAAAGAGTCAGAACAGTGGTATTAATTTGGAACTAGTTTAAAATTCCATCACTTCTAGGTGAAATTGTTTCTAGGTCCTGTTACTTCCATAGGGTTCCACATTAATTTCTTCTATTAAATGCTAAAGACACTTGGATCACAGCAATTTAAGAATAAGGAAGCCTGATGACCTTCTATCAGATGATAGGCAGACCTAACTTCCCTTGTCAGAGAGAACTGGAAGGGCTCAAATTCATTAAAATAAGAGATAAGACGCATAGTAGGATAAAGGACCTGTCAGTTCCTTATTTCCTTTATTTATTGGCCTGACAAATGTTAGAAGTTCATGCACTCGAAAATGGTTGTAACTTGTACATCTGATTGGCGTTGGTTGCAGAAATCAGCTTACAGCAGAGATAATAAGATGAAAAGTAAGTGATCTTTGGAGTTACTGATGAAGTGATCTTTGGAAAACAAGGTTGTATCATTATTATGACATTAAAATGAACAGTCCAACTACTATGATGCACGTTATAGAAATGGCAAACAACCTGATTGACACAAAGAATCCTATATTAAACAGAAAAACAATTTCTGAAAAGCATGCAACAAAAACACAAGCATAGCAAATACATTGACTTAAAAAGACAGATGAAAACCTTGATGACTTTATAAATTATGACATTATGAAGATACAAGAGCTAATAAATCCATAAGGAAAAAAATGTGGAAGATTAAACACCCACAAGTATAAGGACCTATTGGGTAACAAATCATGGATGGCCATATAGAAAGAGGCCTAAAGGTCACATCATAGTCAACTCATCATCACATTCCATTGGTTGAGTCAATTAGCTAGATGGTGCTAACTGAGTTCATATCCCTTCTTCCACCAATTTAACTATCCTTCCACGCATAAAAGAACCAAGGTGCACTACTGCAAAGAAAAGCAAGCTGAAGCTATCAATGAGAATCCTAACCGAGAGGAAGAAACCGCACCACTAAATCCTAGAGTCAAAGCAAATCAATTGGCATAACTCATCACCGGATGCATCAAGAGGACATGAGTGAACTTTAAGGGATATAGCTGGAGGTTCAGTGTCAAGTCAACTCATTCAATGATTTACACAAAGAAATGAAAAATTGCAATTCAGGTTTCATTTAGAATTAACCTAGACTGAGGCCTAATTTGTGCTTGCACCCAGGGTCATGTTCATATACTGTTAGTTCAATTGCAGTACTACAGTCAAAGCAAATCAATTGGCATAGCTCATCACCGGATGCATTGAGAGGACATGAGTGAACTTTAAGGGGTATAGCTGGAGGTTCAGTGTCAAGTCAACTCATTCAATGATTTACACAAAGAAATGAAAAATGGCAATTCAGGTTTCATTTAGAATTAACCTAGACTGAGGCCTAATTTGTCCCTTTACCCAGGGTCATGTTCATATATTGTTAGTTCAATTGCAGTACTACAATCAAAGCAAATCAATTGGCATAGCTCATCACCGGATGCATTGAGAGGACATGAGTGAACTTTAAGGAGTATAGCTGGAGGTTCAGTGTCAAGTCAACTCATTCAATGATTTACACAAAGAAATGAAAAATGGCAATTCAGTTTTCATTTAGAATTAACCTAGACTGAGGCCTAATTTGTGCCTTTACCCAGGGTCATGTTCATTTACTGTTAGTTCAATTGCAGTACTATAGTATTTTTCTCAATATATTTTCTAGTGTTTAACTAGATTTATTATCATTATAAATTCTCTCTTTGCAGGTAAGCTGAAGTGTGGTTCATACCATACTGTACATCTACGCACATTATGATGTAAGCTTACCAGCCTTACCAGCATTGAACATAGACCATTAAGAAATAAGACCAACTTGCAGTAGTATGTCAGGCATATCACTTTTGGACTGATGGGAGCTTAACATAAACAGAAAAACTTCATTCATGGGTTATTTATAGGTGCTAAACTAATAGCAAGATATATTAAAAAAAGAAATGTCCAGGAATGTGAAATTTAATCAAACATATCTCAGATTAGATTCTGATACCTTGAAGGTGATGCTTCACGGTCTTTTTGCCTAGTTTTTTCTGTCACAAAGCGAGAAATATTTATCACCAAATACAGACATAAAAATACATTTTGTAACATTTGAAAAATTGTTACATGTAGACAGAATGGAAACTGAAAGAACAACAATTGTTAGTCAACTAAGCCCACTTTAAGCATGAAACCAGAGGAGACACCAAAACTGAAAACACTGAGAAGCGACATATTTGCTGTATTCTTCCTCCTAATACAAGCTTGTCAAACTGTAACCCTTCTTATATCAACAAAAGTTCACTACAGTCTACATTCCTGGGCATACAAATTTCTTCTTTCTACAAAGGTTTCATGAGTTGATTGTCCAAACCTCTCTTCTACATCAGCCAATCACTTTTATTACCGTTCAGAAAAGTGCAAGATAATATGGAAAGCAAAACAAGGGTATGCTATAATTCATATAAGCTACATGTGACTTAGGTTTTTACCAGTGATTAGATGGTCTCTGAAATTAGAACATGGTACTCAACCTACAACTAGATGAAAGTCAAGCAAACGGCTAGCGGAACTCTTTTAAAATTAAAGCTCGACTACTACATGAATTCTTCAAAAGATATATTTCCAAGACAAATTTTACATAGAACAGAACAAATACTTAATTGCCTTGATCGCCAACATTTTCACTTAATCTTAAATAATCAAAGATCAACATAATAACTTAATAAACTTGTCTTCACCAGTCTATGTAGACATAAGCAACTGTGGGTAATTTATCAGATGCATAAAAATACATCGAGTGAGATAGCACACATTACCAGCAGGTAACTTATCATGAGTGGCAACGTCACCCATCTCCTTTCGCTTTCTCAAGATTTGCAAACGCATTCTGGCATCAAAGTTGGCTTCATCATCGTCATCACTATGATCATCAGCATCTAAATCATCCATTTCATGTTCTCTGATGGAGTCAACTTTATTGGAGGTTAAAGCCTCTCTGACCGCTAAACGAATCTCGTTTTTCTTTTCTACTTCTGTGGAAGACTGCATGCCAGCAAAAGCTTTAGTGCTTCTATATTGTCTATTCATTGACTGTATCAAGCATAAAAGTAAATCATGTAAAAGATACGCATAATTAGACTTTAAAATGACCAAGTCGCAGACATAAGTGAAGATAGGTCCGTGGTGTTTTAACACATTGGTGCTGAAGATTATTACTTGAAGAAAAAGAATGTGTTCAAGAATATATATCTCGAGTTTGGAATTGTCACAGAATTGTTCACAGATAAACAAGAAAAGTGCTTTATTAATTACAAAATTCCAGGTACTAAGAAGTCCCATACAGATGAACTAGTAAAGCCAAAACATGCCTTTTTGCAGTTTATTCAAGACAGCATTATCAAATAGTTCACCACATCAGATTGAAATTTAGCACGAGACCAAAGGAAAGAAATACATTTTAACTGGTGTGTACTCACCAATGGTTCTGGTTTTGCTTCTTTGAGGAAACGAGGATCATCTAACACGTCATGAATGCTTTTAATTTTTTCCTTTATGTTTGCAGCCTCCATTTCGTCTTCTTCAACTTCTTCACCAAAGGATAGCATGTTTAGCTGCCTACACGATGCAAACAAATCAGTCCAACTTACTAGAGGCTACCAGTCATCTTTACGAAGATGAATACGGTGGTAAATGAAGAATATGAAAGCACTCAAGGAATTATATAATGAGCAAAAGTGAAGCAAGAGAGTATGTACTTGACAGCTTTCTTCTTCTGATCCTGTCCCTCAACAACAACCTTGGCATCAGACTGAGGTTTCTCAGGCAGTTGTCTCGGGACAATATCATCAAATGGATTCCACAGCACCTCAATAAATAAAGAAATTGACTTATTATTTCTTCATGTAAGAAGTTAATGGAGTAAAGGATATCTCCATAAAGAGAAGAAATTGTAGGTTGACCTAAATATACCAACACAACTTAAAAAGTACCTCAACAGAAAGAATCTTTGGAGGGGGATGCACTGGCCGATCATCTTTATCAGTTTCAAAATCACCCAAGCTTAGCAGATTAAATATAGAATCCCCAGTGACCTGCCATTATTTGATGTGAGATCCACAAATGCCATATTTAAAAAAAAAATCAAAAAGAAATTACAACATCCATCACCTTCCCAAAAATTGTGTTCTTCCGATCAAGCCAGTCACTGCGGTCTAATGTCATGAAGAATTGGCTTCCATTCGAATGAGGTGTGCCAGCATTTGCGCACGCGACCAAGCCCCTGTGGTTAAATCGAAGGCGAGAATGGAACTCATCCGCAAACATTCCCCCATAGATGCTTTCACCACCTGCCAGTAAGAGAAAAATGCCAACCAAAAACTTATACTGATGACAGCGCACAATAATTAGCAGAAGGCATGGAAGCAAAATTAGAGGATATGTACATTATACAGCGATGACTAGATCGATTACTAGGATGCACTGTATAAAGGGAAACCCTAAATCGATTGAGACCATACAAAGGGAAAGCCCTCAGTTGGTTGAAACCATACAAAGCGGAAGCCCTAAATCGATTGAAAAATAATGAATAGTGCACAAGAGGAGGAAAATGGATTCTTTAAATTCATTTCTATTCCTTTGAAGAAATTGATCATACAGCATCGATTCCTATCCAGTTGGTGCTCGGACGGACAAAAATAGATTCTTGGATATGATTTCGATTCCCAGCTTCTTTTTTTCTCTCTGAGACGAGTAATGCACCGAGATCCGATATATGGAATTAATCATAAATCATCAACCCCGATCGAGTGGTTTATCGGAATACAAGAGTGGGTTAGGAGGAGGAGAAACAACAAGAAAACACGCGCAAGTAGATACACACCTGTGCCGGTGGCGGTGGGGTCGCCGCCCTGGACGAGGAAGCCCTTGATGATGCGATGGAAGTTGGTGCGGTCGTAGTAGCCCTCGAGGCAGAGCTGGACGAAGTTGCGGACGGCCTTGGGCGCCTCCCTCGGCCACAGCTCGATATCCAGTGGCCCCGCCGTCGTCTGCAGCACCACCTTCCCCTTCGTCGGCGGCTCGAGCACGTACACCGACGACATACTCCTACCCCTTCTCTCCCTCTCCCTATCCCTATCCCTCTCTCCCGACCAAACCAAAACGGCACGACGTGGCGGTGGAGTTCGGATCGGGTCGATGTGGCTGCGAACCTGCGACTACGGGTCGGGTTTCGGGACCTTCTCGCCCGTTATAATTTGCTTCGTGCTTCTCGCACGTGAATACAAAAACCAGTGTAATCAGAAAAATATACGATACCAATAAATTTTGGATTTGTGAGAACAAAATAAAATAAGTGCCTAAGCATCAAAGTGATCCTTCTTTTATCAAGTTTATACGTCATAATAATAATATTTAAATATAATCAAATATATCCAAATATAATCATAATCAAATGAACATAAATACACCTAAATAAATCTATAAATTAATAATTTTCTTTATTAACCTCATTTTTTAAATTTTTATGCTCGATCAATAAAATATCTAACCATAAAAACTTAAAAAAATTATATAAAATAATATTTTTTTGATAAATTATAAGTGATAAAAGTGAGATTCGAAGCTAAGATATTACAATATACCATCCAAGTATTTCTCAATTAATTGACATCTTCAAAATATATTAATTGATGTTTCGACTTTTAACTTTTGGTAAGAGAGTGTAGTATATCACTGCAAATCAATGTTTAAGGTATTAAATATAGATCAATTATCGTGTAATCATTTTTTTTATCTTCGTATGTGTTGATGAGTGTCACAAATAATCGAGCCCATTTTAGGTGGAGGAGTGATACTCGGTGTCGCTATGGACGCTTGCTCGATTGAAGTTAGAGTTGATCATTTTCCCATTGATCAGTTCACATAATATACTTACACTCAAAGCGCGCGAGTTCACATGATATTTCACCCCAAGCCCTTTGACATGAAATGCATGAGCCATCGTCGGCTGTCGACGACGCTGAGGACGACGGGGACCAATCAACCCTCATGCCACCATCGCCCGAGAGCCTATCCTCATCTAGCATATATGCCTTTGATCATGAACTCTCTCGGCTGTGGCAGCCTCCGGTGGCTGCAGCTGTGCACCTGCAAGGGACCAGCGACGAAACAAAGAAAACGATACATCAACCCTATACTTCAACCTTATAGTCAACACCCGATAAAGCGGATATATGGTCAACCCACGTATCTCAAAACAACGATTCAGATGATCCTTCACATTCACTACATTAGCCATGCTATCTAGAAAACGTTATACCCAAGTAAATTCAAATAATGATTTAACCCATATCAAGATACCAAGTGCAACATTAATATCTTGTCTTTGGACTTCAATATTAATTGTTAGTGATAGTCTCATTGTAATGATCAAATACTGATAATAAGGCATATTAAATGATAAACCCTTCTTTGGATTGATTTATCATTTATATGTATAACTTTATAATTGTCACGTATTTATCATTACAAGTATATATAAAATCCTACTAGTCATTAACCTTCATTTGGACCGGGTAATTATCGCATGGATGTAAATACATAATATATTTAATATTTTTATGAGAAATATTATATATGAAAGCTCACTTTGATGACTTCATACATTAAATTACTCAATCTAATATTAAACAATCACTAATTGAATTCGAACCATATTAGTCAAATTGGTTTGATCTTAATTTGTTGACTAAAATATGTAATGCAGGTAAACCATTCAATTTATGTCAACAAATAACTTTATAAAACTAATATTATGTTTAAACCAATATAATATTTATAATAATATTATTATTAATTAAATTTATATATTGCAATAACATAATTAAGCCAACATAATATTACATCGATATTAAATTTGCATATTGTAACAACACAATTAAACCAACATACTATGTAACTTTAGATAAAATCTAAAGAAAATTTAGGAAATTTATGCCTTGCAATGCAAAAAATGAATTTGCATATTGATGAATAGGAAAGGACATTAGAGAAAAAGATATCTCATAATTAAAGTGATATAACACCATAAAAAGGCTTGAATGTGAAGCATGTTATGGCATGATTACATTAAACCTTCATCTTTTCTAACGGTGATAGGACCAAATCACTCCAAAATACTAATGAAAATATCATTAAAATACATGAAAAACAAGTTCAGATATTCATCAATCATTGTAGGATGTCTCCGATACCGATTGTTGATTTTTTTAACATATCAAATATGGATAAAATAATTATTTTATAGAATCAAAACCGAATTTTGATTAAAAAACATGCTTTATAGATCCAAAATAAGATTTCAGAATGTTTCAAATCTACTATAATATGTATGAAATCCTACAATAATTAATAAACATATTAACACAAAAATGTACCTGATGAATCTATTAGAGTATTTTCTGAATTAATCGGTGATTTGATTTTTTAATTACAGAGTATCCTTAAGAGCTTTAGATTAGATTTCTCTTTGACGGGTGAAGAAAAACTTCATTCGATACTGCAACTAGGGACCATAACCTTATTTACAATCATAACTGATGAATCTACAATTATGATTATATTCATAATTGATGAATTTGTAATTATGTCTCAAGAGTTTTATATTTCTAACTTATTTCGTCATTAAGTTAAAAATATGATATCCATACAATTAATTTTCATAATAATTATGTCCCTTAGTCAAATAATTTTACTTTAATTAAATCACTTTAATTTTAGCTAATAAAAATAATAACTTAATATATTTCATTATACATAATTATACACTTAAAATTCGCCACCTCCGGTGGCTGCAGCTGGTCAACCCATGTATCTCAAAACAACGATTCAGATGATCCTTCACATTCACTACATTAGGCATGCTATCTAAAAAACGTTATACTCATTGGACGCCAGTTTGCTTCATACTCGAGCAACAGCGATGTCTTGTCGGATTACTCGACCACTCTTTCGATCCCTCAAAGTAATCAATCTAATGTCACACATCATTACGAAACGAGTCGACTCAAGTGATACTTTAATTGTTCGGATTTACATATATTTCTCCTTATTTTACCTAAAGCATTGCATACAAAAGCCAACTCGTATTACTAAACGACGCATTTAAAGTTGATGAACTTGATTGACTCAGTACCTACCCCGGAATATTTTCAGGGTGATTCAGCTGGGTCAAACAGCGCTTCAAATGTTCAGGGGTTTGAAGGGTCTTTTTCTGCCCTTTGTCATGGGTTCGTCGGTGACGTCAGATGCTTGACGTCGGGTGGCGTGGCGTGTTCCGGTTGGACCACGAGAGCCGCTTCCCCCCCGCCGGACCAGCTCAAAAACCTACGTTTCACGTGCGCTGACACGCGCCGTCGCTGTCCCAACCGACAACCACATTAACCGCGACAGCGCCGTTGAGTGCGGCCCCCTCGGGGCTCGGGTCACCGCGGCGGAGTGCAAGCGACCGCACCCGCGTTCGTCCGACCGGGCCGAGCATCGGATCCGATTCGGCCAAGTAGTTATCATTATCCAGGCCACGCGTTCGGCATAAGTGGGGGGAAGGACCTGAGGAGGGACGGGGCCCACGGGGTCCAGAAATATCTAGCATCCGACGGCGGGAACTCACGGCGTGCCGGTGCGACCCACGTGTCGAAGGATGAGCGAGCGAGTTCTCACCTTGTCGTGGGGCCCCATGAAGTGGCCAGATGGGACACGTGTTGGTGAGTGCCTGCCGCTGATGGGAAGTCGAAGGGTGCGCTTCACGAAGCAGGTTCGGACGACCACGAATCGCTTCCTTATTGGTGCCTCAGATGGGCTCGAGCTTCCGGACCACCTCTTTGTCGGGAGGGCGTCGGCGACGAAGCAGCTAATCCACGAGTCTCGTGATACCCCCGTCGAAACCCAACACCTGTCCCCCTTCGCCCGCCTCCTTCCCTCTCGTCTCTCTCCAGGAATCTTCCCAGAGAGCGGTGCCTCCTTCCACTCACACCACTTCCCGTAGCTCCATCTCGTTCTTCCTCCTCCTCGTGTAATAATCCGTCCGCTTCCCGGAAAGAGTGGGTAGTGGAGTCGTCTCCTTGCTTCCTTTTCCTTCCTCCTCATCCGCTTGCAATCATGGAGGCAATGGAGCTACCATCAGATCCATGGAACTCGGATTGAGGGAGCAAAAGAAAAGCCCCCATCATTTGCTCGATTTTTCCTGTGACGCCCCAAATCTCCCCTTGATTCTGGACCCGCCTTCGTCCCCATTCTTTCTATTTTTCTGGCAGTTTGGTGAGATTATTTGGTGCATATATATCTACATAGCATCAAACCGTTTCATCCTCGCAATTTTGCCTGCTACGTGCTGTGGAATGCCCTGAGTGAGTAGGGAGACTGCCATGACTTGTTTGTTTCGTTTTCTCTTTTTCTTGTTGGCTGATTAAGCTAATTCCTAGGCTTCCTTGATTTCCTTCTTCCTTCCTCTGATCCAGGCAAGGGGGTTGGTTGGATGTTGTTGTCGAGGTCTTTAGGGCACGGGAGGCAGAGCTGTGAAACCCGTGAAACGTCTCGGCCGGAGACGATTCTAGAGCGACGAGGCCGCGGTGGACGGGGTTGACCTTGAGCAAAGTTAGGATGTGCGCGTGACTTCTCGTGAGGTCGACGCGCGCTGCTTCTCGTAGTCATTGGCTTCATCACCGCGACCACGGCACTCGGGGGGAGAGGGGAAGTTGATGGATGAGATGCCTCCCGCGCTTGCTTTGCCACCGCAGGTAGGCAGTTCGCTCTGCGATTCCCCCGTGGAGGGTGCTCGTCGCAAGCGTAGCGCCGAAACTGAGGACCTGCCTTCCAATCCCATGCCGGCATCGGGTTCTGGTTCGGCCGCGGATGTTGAGCAAACTGAGGTGATGGCGCCAGTGGCGGCGGCTTTGGAGGAAGACGGGGATGATCTGGAGGTCCGCACGATCCCGGGGAGTGATGAGGAGGATCCGTCATCCATCGAGCCTGAAATGTCCGTCGGAAGCTCTAGTTCTGTCGTTAGCGACAGCAGCAATTTAAGCTGTGCGATTGATGAGTTCTCGATTTCTGACTCTTCTGGTGAGATGGGGACACCTTCATCCATGGACGCAGGAACAGTCCATGGTAATGCTGTACCAGGGCCAGCTTCGTGGGAGCTGGGTGTCAACCCACTACCTGTAAGCTTGAATGTGACCACACCATCTGTCATCGAGCTTGGAAACCCAGAAAGCAGTCGGAGTGGAGATGGCAGCCATTTGCGGAGCTTGTTTTTGATGGAAAGATTACCACTTTGGGGATTCATAACAATTTGTGGGCGACGACCAGAGATGGAGGATGCTGTGGTTGTGGTGCCTTATTTCTTCGAAGTCCCACTTTGGATGCTGATTGGTGATCAATCCATGGATGGGCTAGACCCAGATGTAATCCGCACACCGTTGCACTTCTTTGGGGTCTATGATGGTCATGGGGGTGCCCAGGTACTCTCATTTTGGTTAAAACATTCACTTCTATTGCTGATTGCTGTTGAAGCTCTTGTGTGGAAACTGTAAAGTCTGTTGGGCTCTTATATGGCCTGTTGTCTAATATTGTAGGTTGCTAACTACTGTCGTGAGCGACTCCATCTTGTGTTGATGGAACAATTGGAAAATTTGGCTAAACATTTGGGAGGCACTAGTCGTAGTGATTGGAAGAAACACTGGGAGAAAGCATTTGTTGATTGCTTCCAGAAAGTTGATGATCAGGTTGGAGGAAAAGAAAGCAGAGGGAATATGGGAAGCACAGCTGAAGCACAAAGTGAAGGTGACATCCTTTGCCGTAATGTACTAATAGAAGCTGTTGCTCCGGAGACTGTAGGATCGACAGCTGTGGTTGCTGTTGTTTGCCCATCACACATTATCATTGCTAACTGTGGGGATTCGAGGGCAGTGCTTTGCCGTGGAAAGCAACCCATACCTCTATCAGTTGATCATAAAGTAAGATTAAATTTTAAATTTTAATGGTATGGATCTCCTAGATCTTTCTGATAATTTACTCTACTACAATACCATATTCTACTTTATGTTTCAGCCTAACAGGGAAGATGAGTATGCAAGGATTGAGGCTCAGGGTGGCAAGGTCATACAGTGGAATGGATATCGTGTATTTGGTGTGCTTGCCATGTCACGTTCAATTGGTATGTGTCTGTCCCTCCTAGAAATGTTTTAGTAGCAATGGAGTTAACTCATTAAGTTTACCTTTCCATAACAATTGGCTTGGTCTATTTCCAAATTGTCGATGATCATGTTTGTTAAATTCCATTGCTGTATACAATGCATCGGAATAGCGGTAACAGAATGTAGGCTTCAAAAGATATACAGTTGAATAAGCCCATCGATAGCTTGTCCATGCAATGGATGATTTCGAATATATTACCAAAGTTTCTATATATTTTATATCAGATTATTAGTTAACAACAAAAGTGACTTTTGTCTATTTGAGGGAAGAGGGCACCTCTGTAATTTTTGTATTGGGTGAAAATTACAGGCATTTTAGTATTTAAGGGAGATATTAATGATTAATATCATGACACTTTTGTGGTCAGGGTGAACAAGTATCCTTTGTTTAGAGCTCAAAGTTCAGAGTCTAGCATGAGTTAAACATGTATATTTAGTTAACAACCCCTGCATTATGAGAACCCTTTACCTTAGAAAATTAGACAAAATATGTTGAGGATGGAGGAGCAAGGAAACGAAAAAACAAAATATTTCCGTTATGGCTTTGTTTAGAGCTCATTATTTAGAATTTGTGTTTTACCATCATTAGTCTCCCAATTCAAACTTGTCCTTTCATCAAATACAATATTTCTGTTAATAATAACTTTGCTACTAAAAGGATTATACAATCGATATGCTTTGGATTATAAGGAATAACCAATTAAGATACATTTTTCAGATTTTTCATCAAGCTTGTGATGGTTTTGTGAATTTATCAAAGCATAAGCAATACAACCAAAAGTTCTTAGATGGCTTACACTTGGCTTCATATCATACCAAGCCTTAAAAGAAGTTTGATTCATAACAACTTTTGTTGATGAATATTCAACAAATAAACTATTGTTGTAATTGCTTCTGCCCAAAACTGATTTGGAAGATGCTTTCCTTTAAGTAAACTTCTTATTATTTCAATTACAATTCGATTCTTACGTTCAACTACACCATTTTGCTCCGGTATATATGGTGTTGTCAATTTCCTACGAATATAATTTTCTTCACAACAAGAATTCAACTCATTAGATAAAAATTCACCACCTCTATCTGTCCGAAGTGCCTTTATGCTTCTACCACTTTGCTTTTTTACAAGTGCCTTGAATTTTTAAAAATTATCAAATGTTTCATATTTTAATTTCAGAAAATATACCCAACTCATGCAGCTATAATCATTAGTAAATAATAGAAAATATCGACTTCCACCAAGTGATTTTATATTTATAAGTCCACATAAGTCATCATAAATTAATTCAAGACAATTAGATGCTCTCCATGCTTTTCTAATAAGAAATAATTTCTTACTTTGTTTATTATAAATGCATCCTTCACATACATTAAGTGTATTAATTTTGGACAATCCAAAAATCGTTTCTTTTTTATTTAATAACCTTAAACCCTTAATGTTAATTTATCAATATCTTAAATGTTATAAATTAGACTCATTCTTTTGAGTTGTATCAAGTGCATGCATTTCAATATTTGAAATATCAAGTGGAAACATCTTGCTTTGCGTCATGCAAATATTTACTGTAATCAAACCAAATTTTTTATCTTTAATAGTATATGAACCACCATCAAATATAACTGAATATCCATCATCTATTAATTGTCCAACAATCTACTTTTATATGATCAAACTTTTTACAATAGTGACATTGAATTCAACTCTTTTAGTTTTTTTTATCATAATTTGATTGCTTTTGTTCATCATGTCCATCAAAGTGCTCTCTTCCTCTTCCTATTCCATTTTCTTTACCACAAAATCCTCTTCTGCCACGTCCTCTTCCTATTAATTTTTTGTTTTCTTTTGAAATAGAAGACTCCCCCTTAACTTGAAATGCTTTTTCTTCACTTTTTTCAAGTGACCTGTTCAACCTTGCTTCATGTGCTTACAAGGAACCCATTAGTTCATCAAATAAAAATATGAATAAATCTTTTGACTCCTCAATTACGGCAACAACATTATTAAATTTTAGAGTTAAATTTCTCAAAACTTTTGCAACAATTATATGATCATGAATATGTTCATCATAAAATTTCATTTGACTAACAATTTTAGTCACTCGAGAAAGAAAATATTGTACCGATTCGTTGCTTTTCATGAACAAAATTTCAAACTCACGACGAAGGGTTTGAAATTTTACCGTAATCACCCTTGATGAGTCTTGAAATCCATTTTGAAGTATCAACCAAGCTTACTTTGAGGTTGTCGTTGCTGAAATTCTTGAGAAGATTGTCTCATGTACAGCTTGTTGAAAGAAGAACAATGCTTTTGAGCCATTCTTTTTATTCTCTCTCAGCCTGGTTTCTTCATCTGGATCTGCATATCCATTCTCTAGTAAGTTCCAAAGATCCTGAAACTTGAATAGAGTTTCATTTTGATGCTCCAAAATTCATAGCATTTGTCCGAGAAGATGATAACAAGGAGTTAAGACATGGAATTGCCATTGAAAGTCATAATGTCGAGTTTAGATTGAAACTTAATTTTGATACCACAAATGTTGGGGATAGAGGAGTAAGGAAACGAAAAAAACAGAATAAAGACATTCCCAAGTGCACACATACTACCTTGCTTCATGAACTATGGTCTTATTTATGGGACCTAGTGGCACTGATAACTACCTCACTCCGCCATTTCACCCATGATTGAGTTAGGTGTATGAACTACCCTATAACTTCTAGATCATGGGCCACTACTTAGAACATGCCTATAACTACTTAGAACATGACAACTAACTAGATAACCACTATGAATCAATTCTCAACAAAATAGTAATATAACGATAATGATCCCTTATTTTACTTTTTTCTTTAGCTTTTAAATAATCCTAAACACTAGGTATGTACATTCTCAAACCTCATGCATCTACTAGCTAACAGAAATATAATCACCTTTATGCTCGGATGAAATTTATTTTCCTTTCTTCAATATCATAATAGTCACCTTGGTTTATAGGGCATGAATGAGCTTGTGGGAACAAAGATATCATGGTTATTAAGTCATGTCTGGATTTATCTTAACTAGTTTTTGTACTTACAAGTTAAAACAGCCAAGCAGCTACTGTTGGGGACACTGGCCATAGTGGAACCAGCAACTCATCCATGTACTAAATTGACACACGAGTTACTGCCAGGTAAACTGGTAACTCGTTTTTCAGGCTATGAACAAAAGAGACATGTGATGTGCTTCTGGTTTCTGTGGATTGTGTAGAACCGATAGATAATCTGTTTTTCATTTCTTGTGAAATCTTCAGATGGCATGTACTCTTCTTATTGTTAGATGTATTTTAGTATGCAACTAGGCACCTAGTCTAGTTGTTTTATTTTTCCTCTCTAAATGTAATAGTTAGCAACAAACTGTAATTTCTTTGTCTCAAATTCTACATAAAATTTACATATGAGGACTCCTACAATCTGGCTGTGCATAAGCAGGTTAAAAATTTATTCAGGTATATCTTAAGATCTATCTGCAAACACCACTACAGGCAGCGGATCAGTTGCTCATGAACTTTTCCCAAGCTAATCATCTAGAAACCAAAACCCAAACCCGACTTGGTCACTGGGGTACCTAGAGTGCTGTATTAACCCATCCTAAACCAAATTAAAGGATACAAAAACCCTTCCCATACTCGATTACGGTGTACATAAATGGTTTAAACAGGTTGGTTAGACTTGGGTACCTAGAGAAAGTAAGAAGATCCGACCTGCTACCATCATACCTCTTATTAACAGTGACAACTGGTCGGGTAATGGGTTGCACAAACTATTATCTAGGTACATGAATTCGAGCATGATTTTGGCTTTGGTATCTACTAGCCTACCTGAACTCATTTAAAGCCTGATTGACGGTCAATTAACTAACTTAAGCACAGCACTACTACCAGTTGGTTATGATAATGATGAAATTGGGAGACATGGGTCGATAGTTGTGTTGTGTCCTGTGTGTGAGGCAGGCCACCTTTGACTTGTCCTATGGGTTGGATGCTTGTGTCCCTAGAAAAGTCACCTCACTTGGAAAGGGGAGCTATCTTGCTTACAACCTAAAGCTTCCTCAACTTAGTACTGATGGGAGACTATTGGAACTCCTTATTTTTACAACAACACAGCCGATTGCAGGTATGTATGAAAGCAAAGGATATAGCACCAGCTGATGATTATCAAAACTAGTGGATGAAGGGCGAGTATTGTGTTGTGTCTCATGTATTATTCTCTGCTTTGATCTGAGCCTTTGGGCCTCATGTTTTTGTCATGAAAATATGACACCTCATATGGGAAAGAAGGTACCCTGCTATATTCACAAGCTTCCTTGACTCACTAATAATGTATGGCTATTGAACCTTCTTGTTATTTTTTACATTGGACTTCATAGATTTTGTTTTCCTATTTGTTTTCTTTACTCATAACTGAAACCTGTTACACTATGTCATGCATGACCAAAAAACCCTGGTTGCTCATATTCCAATGTGCTGCTTTCTTGTGTCTGGAGTGTGACAAAGAATGTGCAAGTTTCTGTGAAACATTTTTCCCCTCGATTACATAGACCCATCTCTCTTGGAATAATTTCTTGGTAATGTTAGCATTTGGTGATTCATATGACTGAACACTTTTATATTTACCTACGCTGAAAGGTGGCACCTGGTGTTCTTATGTTCATCGCATGTTAAGGTTGTTCATTGTTTGTGGGGCATTCCAAATATAGGCAAAACTTTTTTGCAGTTTCAGTTATGTTTTCCTTCTTCTCTGACCTCAAAGTGTCTTGGAACAGCATTTGAACAAGTTAAAATTATTAATATGAATTAGGTCCTGGATTGGTTACATTGATACTGATCCCTGAGTTGTGGTTCTGAAATTAGGATGCAATATTTTATGAATATCATTCATAATGCGAACATGTACAGATTTTATAATTGCATATTTCACTTGAGAAGAAAACTTGTACTTAGGCTGCCAAAATCGCGGTTCATAAGATTACTAAGTTTCTGGATCTAAGAGTATTCATCTGTCTGTTTAATTTTAATGTCTAAACTGGCAACATGTTCTTTTTTTGTGTGTACATATATTAAAATCATAATTATAGTGATTAATGGAGCTGCTGTGTGCAGGGGACCGATACTTGAAACCATGGATTATTCCAGAACCGGAAGTTACAATTGTCCCACGAGCAAGAGAGGATGAATGCCTTATTCTAGCTAGTGATGGCTTGTGGGATGTCATGTCTAATGAAGAGGTGTGCGATGTAGCCCGCAGACGGATTTTGCTCTGGCACAAAAAGAATGGCCCGGTGTCAGCAGCCACTCAAAGGGGTGAAGGAACTGATCCTGCAGCTCAAGCAGCTGCAGAGTGCCTGTCGAGACTTGCTGTCCAGAAAGGAAGCAAGGACAACATCACCATCATTGTGGTGGATCTAAAAGCACAACGGAAGTTCAAGAGCAAGTCAGAACATGGTAGGTTGGACTTCACAAAAGAACCATGTACATGAGAACTTGAATTTAGTTGGTTATATTACTTGGCCCATCTCTTTCTTTATTTTTGGGCTCTAAAAAGGATGTATCCTTATACATACTATAGAACATTGCCAGTGTTCATATATCTAATGCAGGTGGCCAGAACCTTGTAAATGCATGTTCTTGAGATAGGCTCATAAACTAATTGTAAACTAAGTTTTCGTCGAGTCCAAAGGTGGGGGGAGATCCTACGGTGCCCTACATTAGTTCTGCATGCTCATATTGTTTTGGGAAGAGGCACTCAAAGCTCCAAGTCTGAGTTCAAGAGTCTCCGCTAGGTACTCTCGATATGCTCTTGTTGTTTCTTCTCTCTCAAGATCTTTTGTCTTTTATTGTAGTTCCACTTTAAGAAGGATATTGATTATTATTCCTTCGGTTTTTATTCAGGTAAATCTTCTGATCTTGTTGACCATCAACAACAAAGTAGCAGGCTTCAGTTTAGTCTGCTGGTGATGCCTCCTTGTGAACTCTTTCCTCTCACATGCTCCCTGTTCCACTTTATTTCAGTAAATTTACTTGCAGAACAAAAAAAATCTCTGTTTAAGATTTATTATATTTATAGTTTTAGCACGAACTTGGATGGTTGCTTCTTATCATTTTGTGACCAAGTGGTTTAGTGTGACTAACTGTTTAGGTTCATCTTTCTATCAAATATAACCTGCTATGTAATGAAAAGTTCTCTAGTTCCAGAACCTGATGACTGATGATATTATTAGATAACATGTAGAATGTTTGCCTCTAAATATAGAATTGGGTACATGGCACTGAAGAGTTTGCACTTGTACTGGTTTGCGCACTATATTTCTTATATAACATGCATAATTACTCTCAAGTGTCTTCTGCTTGGTGTGTGCTAGTGATGTGATTAGTTTCCTTGGCCTTCTTTCTTCCATGTCATTATTGTGATGCATCCTTCCTCTGTTTCAGGTTCCCTACCTCCAAGTGGAAGAACTCAAAGTCGATTCATTCGCAGCGAGGATTTCCCGACTCAAAAGTGGTAGAATAGAACTGTCTGCTCGAGATTCCACTTTCCAAGAACTCATACATATACCCAGGTGGATGCTCCTATTTTATCTTCTCCTGCCTATCTAAGAATCATGCTATTTAACGTGGGTAGAGGCGATGTTGATGCTGTAATCCAAACTTAAGCTGTATTAGCCTTCAAAACATTCAGTTCACTGACCTTAACCCGTTCTTCACCTATAAACCATGCCTGATGGATCTTAGCGGTAAGGCAAGGCATACTAGAGCTGATCTAGATTTACAAATGGGAGTTATTAAGATCAAAGAAAGAGAAGAGGAGTTTTAGAAACTTGCAGAGTATGTAGGCTTAATATGATGTCATGACACTAAACCCTAACCCATATTTCTTTATGATACTAATTTGGTAAAAATTGCTTTTTTTTGGGGGGGTTAAACATAGAAATATCAAATTTATCCCTTCAAACCAAGTTTGAGAAAAAAAAATATTCATGAAAATGGTTTCATATAATATTTTTTTAAAATAATGTTAAATATATTATCATAATTTGTTCATATTGGGGTCCAGAAAAATTAGCATCGTTGAATTTAGTGGTCGAATGTCAAAGATGATAATATAATTCTTAAATTTGAATCGTGGTAGCGATCGGGTAAATTTTGGAGGGATAAATTCGGTATCCGAATATTTTGCAAGAATATGTATACATAATTTCCTGAAAATAAAAAAAGGGCCTTTATTTTAAGCGTGGCTATAAATTCGAGCGTAATATTTGATGAGTTAAACCGGGTCGGGGTTTGGATGGTTTCCCCCTTCCCGAGCGAACCGGTGAACCCTAGCGGACTCGAAGAGGAGGGAGAGCACGAAGGCCCGCCGCTTGGAAGCACGGAGCAGAGCGAGCGGGGGAAGGGATGGTTTGGTTTCAGTGTGAAGACTGTGGCGAGAACCTGAAGAAGCCCAAGCTCCCGAATCACTTCCGCATCTGCTCCGCCTACAAGGTCGCTCGCTCGCTCGGTTCACGAGTGTTCGCTTACCCTCTCCTTTTATCGATGCGTCGTTTGGAGTTCTTGTTCTTATCTGGTTTTTGCTGCCAATAATCTCTAGCTTTCGTGCATCGACTGCGGGAAGACGTTCGACCAAGAGACCGTGCAGAGGCACACGCAGTGCATATCTGAAGCGGTTCGTATTTGCTATCGTCCCGTCCCCCTCATGCTTCGATTGGATCTGTTATGATTTCGTTGTCTTCGTGTTGGTTGTTCTTTTTCGTTGATCATGTTGCTGTATATGTGTTGTTTTGTTTGTATAGTTAAGAAAGTTGTAATCTCTGGGATGAATGGCAGGCTCGCAATACAAATTAATTGTGTTCTTCTTCAAATACAGTTGTCATTGTCCTTGTTAATGTAGATATGAAAATTTGTTCATCTTGTTGGCATTTAGCTCATCACAAGGATTTCTTTCAGGAGAAATACGGTCCAAAAGACCAGGGGAAAGCTTCCCAAAAGGCACAAGAGAAGCCCGACAAACCTAAGCCAAATGCAGATGTTGATGTTAATGTTGGTTTATCTTCACGTCCCCCTTGGTTCTGTAGGTATGCAATTATGCTCCATCAATAACTCTTACATAAAACAAGCTGTATAGTTAAGGCACTCTTGTGGGAATAATTGTCTTATTGTCTTTTCATTATCACTGGGAAGCTGAAACTTGGTTTGTTACAAATTATTGATATCAAATCATTAACTTTAAAGTGGTATCTTTTGAGGCTGAGTATGACTGTTAGACATCAGCGTATATGAGACCAAACAAGGATAGATAAGACATTTGTATAACGTAATATGCTATGACCACTGTTTTGATAATCTTATTCACACATTATAATAAATAACAGATTGTCACCCGTATCTTGCACGGGTAGTAGGCCACTGCTAGGTTTTAGCTGGTACACTTGTGGCTTAGTGGATCCTATTGCAAAAGTAGAAGTGATGATTATCCTTTGGTAACATGTGATGATAACAAGGACTATACGGAAGTATGCAATCACCATCTTGGATGATACTTGTTCACGTTTAAAACTCAAATCTACTATTTGCTGATTTGTGCCCTACTTGCTGGGACACACAACTTGCCAGTTAGATCAAGCAAGCAAGCTGCATCAGTTTTTCTAATGTGAACATCAGGGTTTAGTGTGTGTGTATACATGTATACATATGGATACATATGTGTATACATGTGTATACACATATGTATACATATATATCCATTGTTCCATGCGTTTCTGCTTCTGCATGTCCTTTGATGAGATAAACATCAAACTTCATCAGCATAGGCGTAGCTTTTAGTGAGATGATAATGGTCGCTGACCTGTCTGGTATATAGACAGAAAAGTTTCTGTGTTGTGGATGGTTTTCAGCTCAAGATTAGGCCTAATGAGTGTAATGGTCACTGCAAATAATAATCAACATAAGCTGCTCTATATGGCTGGCCAGAATATAAATTGTGCTTGGTGTCTCACATTTTTAGCTCTGTCCAGCCAGAGCCTAATTTGTGCTTGTTGTAATCTCAACAAAATTTGGCAATGCATGCATATGCAGTCATGGATATTTCTATGTTGTCTAAGTTGAGAATTGAGCATCATATTTAGCTGTTTCATCTTAGAGATGGATAATAATGGAATATTAAATGAAAGTGCTTACTATCTTACATTTATTAGGTTATACCATTTATCTTTTTCTACAAAAAGATCCATAGTTTCATTCATCAGTCATGGATAGCTGCTTCAATAGAATGTGCTATGAAGATATTCTGTAATTTGTTTGTATAATAGCAGGTTCTTTATAAATGACATGTGGCACAATTGTGGTGCATGAATGTCGGTTTCTGAAAACTGTATTTAGAGTCCTTTTTTTGTTGGATTTCCATCTGCAGTCTTTGCAACACTAATACTACCAGCAAGCAGACTTTGCTACTCCATGCCGATGGCAAGAAGCACAGAGCAAAAACACGAGCCTTCCATGCGGCCCAGAAACAATCTACTCAAACAGTGGAACCAACTTCAAATATGGAGATTGCTGATGGCAAACCATCGGCTAAATCCATTGAATCAAATGGTTTTCTGAAAGCAGATGAATCTAGGGATGAAGAAACTGCCAAGTTGGTTGCAGAAGTTGAAAATGAAAGTTCGGTGAAGAGAAAGAGAAAAAATGATGTAATTGAGGATTTTGCCAAAGATAATGAGAAAAATGTGCATGACTTGAGCAATGGGGAAGTGATACAAGCAAGAGAAACAGGAGCAGAGGGTCAACCAAACAAAAAAAAGCATGTGGAAGATCATCATGATAAGCAGTGCCACAGTAAAGAATTTCCCCAGCACAAAATCAAGTGGAAGAAGCTCGTCACTTCTACCCTCAAGATGGTATGTGCATTTATGAACTGTCGCATTTTTGTTGAGGATCACAATTCATGTAGATGGACTACATCAGTGTTCTTTTGCTAGTAGTGCTGATTCTATGATGTGTAGTCGTTCATCTGTTACTTTCGGAATATTGTTTTTGTAAAATATTTACCATGTTACTTTATATACTTAATAGGATGCTACACTTTTGGATGATACTGGCACTTAAACATGTACATGCTATTGCAGAATCCAGATCTTACAATGAAGGTCAAAAAATTACAAAAGATTGTCATTAAGATGGTCAAGGAGTCTGGTGTGACTCAAGATGAGGCACAACTTCGGGGGATGCTGATGAACAAGGTCAATTTTCGGAAGAATCTGCCATTCCCATTTTTTCATTCCTACATCTTGGACAATTCATTACTTTTTCATTTATTTCTTTTGCAGATCAATTCAAGCTCCCGGTTTGTGGTTGATAACAAGAAAATCCAGTTGGTCATCAAAGCCAAAGATTGCTAATGTCGTCAGCCACAAAGAAAGCCTGTCGGAATTTTGCACTCTTATCATATGTGTTGAGTTTGGTTCTGCAGCTTCTAGTTTTTGTTGGGCACTCAAACTTAGGCTTGCCTTTGCAACTATTTTTTGTCATGATTCTTGCTGATTTAAGTGAGAAAAACACAATTTAGAAATAGGGTAAAGGGTAAAGTTTCTCTATATAAGCAGGCATCAGCCATTTGGTTTCTCTGATGTTATTTATCAAGTTGTTTACATGGAATGTGTACTATGAAACATGGCTGGAGGTTACAGGGAAATTGATCACTGGATGCTTAGTTCACAAATGAGCTTAAGTTGGCTCAAAGTGATACTCTCAAGGCTGTACGTCAGTAAATTATCAGTCTGATGATATGGGTTAATGCTGGTTTGTATTTTATTATTTATTATTTATATTTTCTTAAGCTAAGTGCTGAAGATGATATTTGATCATAAGATTTTTATCAATTAAGTTAATTGTATTAGGTATTGATTCAATTGTTTGTTGAAGTCAGTATCTATGTCATGATTCAAAACTTTGATTTCATGCTGTTTATTGTTATTTTTATATGGTTCTATCATGCTAATTTTAAAAATAATTTCTCATTTTATAGCAATTATTGTTATAGTTTGCTGTGTTAAATGTTGATAACTAGCTACGAATGAGCGAAGAGGTTCAGCCCCCGCGTCACCCTCAGAGTCCAGTGTGCAGAAGACACGTCAGCAGTAATTGCATTGTTGTCGGTCGTGGCTGGTAATTTGAAGGGGTTCAGTGAGCAAGTCCATACATCCGATCTGAACCTCTCGTGGCCTTATTTCTGTGTCGTCTCAAGTATTATTTAGAACCAGAGAAGGAAGACTATAAGAGAAGGGTTGCCCTTGATTCCTTTCGACTCCGAATCCTTCTCTGTGTCTCTCGGGGCAAGAAGAAGCTTCGTCACGGAATATGGGGAGACGTACAGCTACAAAAGAGGAGGTGGGGGGAACAACTTGGTGGAGGTGCACCTTCTGAATCGTCACTACTTCAGATCTTAAGACCGACCGCTTCCAGCGGCGGATTAGAGCCAAGTATGTAACATGACCTAGTCCTCGATAGCTGTTTGATTAGCAAGTTCGTTTGTGGTTTTATCTTGTTTGTGATTAGCAAGTGTATGTGGCATAAATACATACACTTGGTGGGTTGGAGGCCCATGAGACGAGGACTTCCGGCCACGGGCTTCTTCTGTTCGGTTTCTTCCCTTATCTTGTTTCTTGTTATTTGGAGACTCATTCTGAAGCTGATTGATTTGATCTGTCGGTGGCGCTTTCTGTTCTTTATCTGTTTGTTCTCTTATCTGATGCTTTGGAAGAATTCGAGACATTCGATATCTGTTTGTTCTTATGCCTGGTGCATTCGCTTTCTTCATCCTTTGTCTGTTTCTTCTCTCATCCTGTTGCTTTGAAAGAATTCGAAACATTCGATATCTGTTTGTTCTCGTGTCTGGTCCGTGCGCTTGCTTTATTCATCCTCGTCTGCTTGTTCTCTTATCTGTTGCTTTGGGAGATATACCTGTTTGTTCTTATGCATGATGCATGCGCTTTCTTTATCCTTTATCTGTTTGTCCTCTTATCTGATGCTTTGGTAGAATTCGAAACGTCCGATATCTGTTTGTGTTTATGTCTGGTGCATGCTCTTTTATCTATTTGTTCTCTTATCTATTGGTTTGGAAGAAATGTAAACCTTCGATATCTGTTTGTCCTCATGCCTGACGCATGCGCTTTCTTCATCCTTCATCTGCTTGTTCTCTAGCCGATGCTTTATTAGAATTGGAAACGTTCGACATCGGCATGTTCTTGTGCCGCATGCGCTTTCCTCGCCCTTATCTGTTTGTTCTCTTATCTGAAGCTTTGGAAGAATTTGAAGCATTCGATATCTATTTGTTCTTATATCATAATTGCAAAATGTAACGAGAAGCTATGGAGTTGCTTGTGTATGAACAAAGGGGGAGAACTCCTCCTCACTGCCTACCGACCAACAGAGAGAGACCCAAAGAAGTATAAATCCGAATGTTCACATTCTCTCTTGTGTTCATTTTAGTGCTAAAATATGCCAAAAACAAAATTATATAGCTCAAGGACCCTTTAATTAAATCTAAATTATGTCTATTTATTGTGTCTTATGTCCCCATGATAACATTTATTGTGTCTTTTGTCTTATGTCCATTTCTTTTTGTTCTTGGACTATCCATCATAAAGCAAGTGGTTCTCAATCTTGACAATGCCCCACAAACAGCCATGGACCATTCATCATTACTTTGCTTGGATCGGCATGCGTTTACAGTCCCAATATGAGACTTTAGTTCTCAGACATGTTCTTGTTGTTGCCTTCCTTTAACTGACCGTGCGTGTTGCACGCATGCATCAATTGCAACAGCAAGCCATATGTATTAGAATGATGCTGTAGGTGAGTGCCTGAGGGGGGAGGAGAACCCGTCGGCCGCACCGCCCCGACTTTACGGTGGACAGAGTGGCCGTCCACTGGCGACTGGATTAGTGTCGGCAATTGCTGCCATATCGTACTTATTAACAAAAGATCAAAGTGGCATAACAAATAGGTAAATTTAGTTGACCAAATCTTATTATAGTAGAAGTTTTTCTTATTAACTAAGGTTTCTATGTAGTCGATCCTGAATAATACATTGAGACTAGATTTTGATTAGAAATGGGAGTTGGAGGGTTAATACTTTCTCAGGATAACAATAACGATTGTTAATGATAGTAGTAGGTTTGAGAAAAACTTCAATCTTATGATTTGGTAAGGTTAATTTAGTTTCTCTTGTTTTTGTTCTTGTTTGCATCGTACATGTGGGGCAATGAAGCCTATCGAGGATATGAGGAAACAGATGGCAAACTGGTGGACATTAGCATTTCTCTAATTAAATTAAACTCAGTAGAACAACAAAAAGGAAACCTTTGAATTTGTTCATCGATCTTATAGGTCAACCATGTCAGCCAGTGTAGTCGTGTTGATGAAAAGAGTCTGCATGTTAATCCTCTTCGGTCCTGCAGTGGTATGTTCGCATACAAGTACAAGGACTAGGGTATCATTTGTTTCTTGCAGCCCATGGGAACGAAGAGGAGGGAGGATAGAGGTGGAGGAATACATTCAGCTGCACTAACGACATCTCAAGATGTTGCTCTGCCACTACAACCTGCCTCCCTCTTAAGCCGCTTCTCCGCAAAGTACTCGCCATAGCTCATGATCCAAAACCTCTCGATCTCCTCTGCTTTCCTCCCTGTGACTCGACCGGCTATCAGACCCCACCTGCATAGCACCACAACGTCAGTAAATTTGCTTGCTCTACTCACTTATCGAGATCTAATTCTTGCTATCCAATCATATTTGTTAATATGCTTTTTAGTTAGGAAAATTCCTTTGAAAAATCTTTATTTTTAAGCTTTTTCTAAAAATATCCCCTATTTTCAGAATTTCTTAATAATATATATATATTTTTGACTACTTGGAATACCTTCGGTCCTCCTCCTATGGACCGTTATAGGGGATGTTTTTAGCAATATCGAAAAAATACTATAGCATGGTACAAATACTATATAACGAAATATAAAAATATTTTAAGAATTGATTTATAAAAAGAGAGAGAAAATGCATAGGACTGACTATCAAATCATTGGAAAAAATACTATTAGGAAATTCAAGAAAATAGGTTATTTTCCAAAATAAAAATAAAAAGGTTTTTTTTTTCTCGAAAATTCATCCTTTTTAATTTATTTGTACTTGTGATGTAGCAAATTACTTTAACCACGATAGTTTAACCGTGCGTTGTCTTTTCTCATGCAGGACTTGGGAGGTATCCGAAGGTTAAACTGAACCCTCTTAACATCATATATCTGTCTACTGTCCTGTAACTTTCGTACATTAACCTTAAAGAGTTGTCAGCATCATCGGTTTATGTGCATCCTCGCATTGCTATCTCTATCATGATCATCATCATCATCGTATTTCCTGATGCTAATTATTATTGATGCCATTAGCCATAAAACTTTGAATTCACCGAGAAGGAAGTTATGAAACGGAGACAGAGAGCGGGGTAAGAAATTGCTGCTATTGTAGTAAAGTTTTTAATGTTAGCAGGTCAGATGGATGGATTGAATCACCCACAGAATCTGTCACTTGCACCTGTCTGTACAGGTGAATTTAAGATGCATTTAATGGGATGATGTGATCTACTATAGACCTGATTGATAGGACATCAACGTATCAAGTCCGTGCAGCTTCGCAGCCTTTCCCGTCCCTCTTTTTTGCTGCTTCACCTTTTCAAATGAGAGCAGAGTTTCCAAGAATCATTTCATGTTTCACCTTCTCTCACTTGGAAAAGGTGGATTCTGGAACTCAAGCCCTCAGGATCTAAAAGACACATACTGTGATCATCATAAATAATCTCTATCGATGCTTTTTTATTCTTACTTTCGTTATGACAATTCCAAAGTTTATTTGATGGCTTTTACAAACAGATGGCCTTATACCATGACTGCACTATCATGATGAGATTCCTGTTTGTTGATGCAAGACATGCAAGAAGATGGCATGCTTGGCAGTCCACTAGTATGATATGAGTCTATAATCTTGTTTGCTATGTTTTCCGAAAGAGAAAATGACATGAATCTTAAAGCCAGAGAGGGAGATGGTAAGGCTTGCCTGTCGCCAACAAGCCTGTACATCCTGTGGATGAGGTCTTCCTCTTGCTCTGACATGTCGATGAACTCCCACTCCTTGCTACTGACATCTGCAGAACAAAGACACAAAGTTCATGAGATATCAAGCAAGAAGAGGAATGAAGACAGCATGAGACCTTCGAGTTCACGGTAGATGGTTTCCTGCTGCAGTCTGCAGCTGCGCTTGCCCATGGATTTAGGGAAGGAAGATTGGTCTGCCAAGAAGAAGAAGAAGCAAAGCAGGAGAAAGAGAAGTAAGATGGCTGGGACTTGGTGCCTTCATATGCTCAGAGAGGTAAGTGCCATAGCCTTTATGATGTCATCTACTTATGGCCACTCTTTCTTAGGTCTTTGACTGTTGTCACCCTCATTTTGACTGGAATTTAACTAGGAGTACTATTAAATAAAAATATTAAGTTGATTGTGATTAGGTTTTAATTAGAGATAGAGTCGAAGAATAAAATGATTTTACTATTTAGAACAAGAGTAGAATGTAGTTAGATAATAATAATGTGAAAACATTTCTAACTTGGTAGAAATAACTCATGACCTTACCTCAAATCATAAACAAACAGAGTACAAGATAGTGATGACATCATGAAAACGATTTACCATATCTTGTTTTCTT